ATTTTTTCATTCTTGCATTTCTTTGTATTTATTATTATCACAGTGTTGTTATTATTATTATTACCATCAATATTTTATTTTACTTTTTATTATAAATTTTATTTACTATGAATTATTATTATTATTAAATTTTCGCCCCCCAGGCCCTGATGTGGGTCAGTGACCTGTGCCCGGGTGGGCTAATCCCCATAAAAAAAAAAAAAAAAAAAGAAGCTTCCTCCCTCGTGTTCCCAGACAAAAGATTGGTGATTTTTTTATGTTTATTTTATATAATATCTCAGACTAAAGTTAGGATAATATAATTTGCATTGCTGAAATCCTTGAAAGACAGAGATTAATTTAAATATAAGCGTCATATATTTTGCTCAATATATAAAAAATGTCGTACATTATTGTACAATACTGTAGTACATTTTATATAATGTTTTTCAACTGTATTTTTGGGTAGATTTACATAAATTTCTTCATTTATTTTCATCCATTTACATGCACACACCATACTAAAAGAAACGTAAAAGAAATAAATGACCTTAGTGCAAAGCTGGAGTGCACATGTACTAATTTGATTACGGTACTAGAATTGTTATGTCTAGTGCGAATTACAACATGTTTATATTCAAATAAATCAGTATCTTACAAGAATCCCAGCAATGTTAATTATATTCTCCTAGGTCATATCACTGGCATTTTAAATTGAGAGAAGCTTAGTAGGACTGTTAAATAAACACACAGAGACCTTCGGCTCAAACTTATCACCTCAACCCCCCAACCCCTCACTGGCTGGCTGGCTGGCTCCCTCCCTCCCTCCCAGCCAGGGTTTTAGGCTTACAGTTTTTATCTTATATAATATCTCAGACTAAAGATAGGATAATATAATTTGCATTGCTGAAATCCTTGCAAGACAGCCAACAATTTGAATATAAATGTCATATATTTTGCTCAAGAGATAAAAGTTGTTGTACATTCGTGTACAGTACTGTAATACATTTTATAATATAAAGTTTTTCAACTGTATTTTGGGTAGATTTACATAAATTTCTTCATTTATTTTCATCCATTTACATGCACACATTATACTAAAAGAAACGTAAAAGAAATAAATGACCTTAGTGCAAAGCTGGAGTGCACATGTACTAATTTGATTATGGTACTAAAATTGCTTTGTCTAGTGCAAATTATAGCATGTTTATATTCAAATTAATCAGTATGTTACAAGAATCCCAGCAATGTTAATTATATTCACCCAGGTCATTTCACTGGCTTTTTATAAGAGAGAAGCTTAGTCACTTAAGAACTGAGAAATATACACGCGTTAGATCTGGGCCTGTGCCAACTGTCAAACGTACTACTTCCCCTCCCCCCACGCCCCCTCGCACCCTCTCTCTCTCCCATCTGCCCGGTGTTGCTGGAATCCTTGTAAAAGTGAATAATTTTAATATAAACGTCATGTATTTTGCACAAGAGATAAAAATTAATCACTTGACAATATCCCAAATTAAGTTATTATTTAGCACATCATGTTATTTTTAAATGAACAACATGGCACTCACAACACATAACACATAACACAAATAACCTGGGATAACTATGTCTGCTAATTATCCCTAATCATGGATACCAACACTGTTCAATACGTATAACCAAGATCAATGAACCAGACAAGACTGAGTACACTGGTCGCGGGGTTGTTTACGACACAAACAGCCAAAGCTCGTTCGCTAGTAGTGCCCAGGGGTAGACTCGGTGCAGTGTCTTAACACGGTGTTCCCTGGGTGTTCCTGTCCTCCTATTCTAATCTCGCCATATTAAAGACATCCTTCAAGGACCATCTTGCCCATAGGCGGCTACCGAACCTCGGTAGTGGTGACAAAACAGACAGTGACTGGAGATGCGTTGAGGAAGAGTCACGAGCGTGTAAATGTCTAACTCAACTACACATAACTATACATCTGGCAACAATACAGATGACACTTAATTTACTTGGATTACTTGGCACATGATTATTTCACTATGTTAAAACATGAACACCGATATTCACAAAATCGACTCGAGTTAAACTGATGGGAAACAATCATTCACATACCTGGAGATGCGTTGAGGAAGAGTCACGAGCGTGTGAGTCTTCCTCGTGCATTCGTTTATATACAGGCCTGGGGCAGTTCCGGCCCATGCATGCATACCAGAAAGGCTAATCTCACCAACGACAGAAATTCTATTCAACTCAGTCGCTGTACATTCAACTATGAAATTCAGTGTCATGGGTCAGGTGAATTTCTTATGTCTATTTTTATAAACTAATCAGAGATTGAGTTTGTCAGGAAAAAGTGAAATGGACGTTAAATACACACACTAACAACTCTACTTACCGGAAACAGCAAACCACAGCCGAGGAATTCTTCCTGGGGAGCCGTTAAGTCTTGGTGATTTTGAGTTTGACAGAATCTTTTCAGGAGATTACTGGCTATCCTAAATAGACAACTGACACTAGCTAAACTACAAACATCAGATTCTCTGATGTTTGGGCATCAAAATTATCCAATTTCAGTAGTACTTAGAAACTCCTGGTTATCCCCAAGGACGATATAAGGACAAGCCACTCATACTGGCAGACTCGACACTCACTTACTAGACTAGTTTTACTAACAATAAAGACAATTGAAGCTTTCAACATCACTCACAGTGGATCTTGAATGTTCCAACTGTAATCAGACATGTCTAAGTTGCCTTAACATATACAGTAGTACCCCAATTTACGCGGTCAATTGAACCCACAGGGTACCGCGGAAAGTGAAATCCGGGTAAAGTGAACAACAGAACATATGGGATTAATTCCAATAGAGACTGGCCCGACCCCCAAACTCCACTTTTCCCGACACAATACTGTACCTATGTTGTAGTAAAAATAACATCTTAATTTTATGATGGTATTCTCACACAATTAATATTTAAGAGAAATACAGTCGCCAGGTTAATGTCCATTCAAATAATGGACTCAAATCCCCCCCCCCTCTTCCCAGCTCACTAGCTCCTACCTCTGAGAAATGTTTGGGTGAAAACACTAGATTTTAACGTTTAGTAATAAATAATACCTCAGACTAAAGTTAGGATAATATAATTGACATTTCTGGATTCCTTGCACGTCAGGGAATATTTTGAATGTAAACTTCATATATTTTGCACAAAAGATAAAATATTTGCTTTGTGTAAACCAAATTATTACATTACTGTAGATCTAAAATTTGTATATCTAATGCAAAATCCATGATGTTTATATTCAAAATGATCATCATGTTGTAAGAATTCCAGCAATGTAAATTATATTCTGGCCTGGTAATTTGTATGAATTTTATGAGCTAAAACAAATATCTTCAGTAAATAAACAAAGAAATATTCTTCAAGGACACTATCTGTCAATCAAAATACCCCACCTCCGCCCTAGCTGGGTTGGTCCCTCCCTCCCTACCCCCCACCCCCCACCTTCCCTCCCTACCAGAGAAACGATTGGGAGAAAATAGTATATTTACATTTTTAGTAATAAATAATAACTCAGACTAAAGTTAGGATAATATAATTGACATTCTGGATTCCTTGCAGGTCAGGGAACATTTTAAATGTAAACTTCATATATTTTGCACAAACGATAAAACATTTGCTTTGTGTAAACCAAATTATTACATTAGATCTAAAATTTGTATGTCTAATGCAAAATCCATGATGTTTATATTCAAAATGATCATCATATTGTAAGAATTCCAGCAATGTAAATTATATTCTGGCTGGGTAATTTGTATGAATTTTATGAGCTAAAAAAAAAAAAAAATTAAACTTCACCGCGTATATGAGTAGATGCACCGCGGAAAGTGAAAGTCCGGTTCTGGCAAGGTACCGCGTAAATGAGAAATCGCGGAAAGTGAAACCGTGTAAAGCGGGGTAATACTGTACAACCACAGTTGCAATTTCATAAGGAAAAATGAAGTCTCAGGTGCACTCTAAGATTGAGGGAAAACGGAGGACTCAGACATTCTGAAGTGATGAGAAAATGGACGCCTCAGTCGGGGGACTCAATAAAGAAGGCATAGCTACATATTTTGTGGGCTATTTAATGTAATATGAATCGTCTGATTTTACGTTAACTAACATGCACGACCGTCATCATTACATCATGACAGTATACAGTAAAGCATTAAGCGATGAAAATCACATATCAGAAGCAAAGTTTAGGAAATATGGTATCTAAATATTAATGCACCTGTAATAATATGAAGTACTGTACTGTATTTGCTGTAATTATGCAGCTTGGGGTGACAACATGGGTCAGGAGTTCATTCATGTTTAATCCTTTGGACACATATATTGTTTATAAGCTGCATTCCCAATGAGTGTCAGGTGTGAATAAAGTATGAAAATGGTAGCTGGTCCATTTTTACTTCTTTTTATGATGACAAAATCATGTTTCCACATATTGTATAAATGTTTTATTTTAATATAGCTGGAGTAAAAAATATGTAGAAACATTAAAATGAAGTACCTGTACAGTTCAGGTATTTATAGTTTCCTCATTTTATGCTATGAAAATTAGCCAACACTATTCAAATGTCAGAAAAAAGCAAAAAAAAAAAAAAAACATTACCCTGTATCCTCATATTAGAAGTAAAATTATTCATTATATAGCTCCAAAATATGAACATGGCCAAAATGTTCAATAATCACAGCTGAAACATCCAACAGGCAGCTACAATCAAAAGCTGAGCTAGCCTCATCAGGCAGTCACAGTCCATGATAATAATTCAACTATTCCACCATGATACAGAAATAAGCTCATTAATTAGTTTGCACTGAAACTAGAGACTGCAATAGTCATGGATGTGATATAGAGTTGGTTTGAATTATGTTTAGCTTGATGCAATTGAATATGTAGAAAGCATTAAGCAGTGTTAATGATTACATCTTAAACATTATGCTAATAATTTTTAATAACTTAGGTAATACTTATCCACCAGGTGCACTTATTAGTGGTGACTGCCAAAGATGGGGCCCCTGATCCACGGCTCTCCACTGCTACAGTGACTGTATTAGTTAGTGATATGGGGGATGAGCCACCGGTATTCTCTCAGCAGGTGTATGAGGCTACTGTACCAGAAAATCTTCCTGATGCTCTGCTCACCACCGTCGTAGCTACTGACCCAGACACCAAACCAGAGGTAAGAAATTATTTCTTCATCATGCAGCAGAATAAATTTTATATCAGTATTGAATGTATTAATTCCTGATCCTTGGATGAATTTACTATTTACAAGTACAGTTGGGTCTTCATTTACGCAGTCAATTGAACCCGTGGAGTACCGCGTAAAACGAGAAACGCGTAAATGAAATAACAGAACATATGGGATTAATTGAAATAGAGACTGGGCCGACCCCCAAACTCCACTGTTTCCGACACAATACGTACCTTGTAGTCAAAATAACATCTTAATTTTATGATGGCATGCACACACAATTAATAATTAAGAGAAATATCAATAATATTAAGTTTTTTAACACTTACATTAGTAGAAAAGATGGCTGGGACACGGGGATGGGGGGTTGGTTCCGAGGCAGAGGGCAGATTATTGGCCCTCACCTGTACCACTTGTATCAATTGTATCACTATCCACCACAGAGGCTTGCAGGGCCTCTTTTTCAAACCCCTCAAAGTCCATATAAGTCCATATGCTCACTATCACTGACTTGGGCCGGCTGTGGTGGGTGACGGGTGAAGAACTCGGGAATGTTTTGATGACTGGGCGACCTTGTGCGCATCCTGCCCTCGCCGCTTCCTGCGTAAATTACCGAATTTGCCGGGTAAATCAAGCATTTCGATTCTGGCAAGGCACCGCGTAAATGACAAAACGCTTAAACCAAAACCGCGTAAGTCCAGACTCAACTGAACTGTACTATGTAGCTTGTATGTGCAGTGTAAATGCTTTTATTTTTTTACTATTAATATCACTTTATGCCTTTAATGGTGAGCCCTCAGGACAAGTGATAAAATTAGACTGGAAATTAACTACAAAAGTTATTTTATGTGTTTTGTAGTTGAAAAAACATAGAGATAATTTATCTACACACTTATGTATCTACAGTATTGTAAGTTAATATTTTACAGTTATAGAAATATACATTTTATGAAGAGAAATTACATATATGGGACCATTTATCAAGCATGCTTGGGACCTGGGAGTTACTAGATAGGGTTTTTCCGGAATTTGGAGCACCAGGCCTATTATGTCCTAAAGTGCAGTAAACCCTCTAGGTGACAGTGAAGCCTCTGTTCAGATCACTAGCTTCACTCCTAAAAGTAGCTTCACTAAAACTTGAAATTATAGGCATATAAACAGCAATAACAAAAGCACATAAAAAGCATTAATGAAAGCATAAAAATAGTAAAGATGATGCAAGTTAGTGTACATACTGCGTCAAGGCAACCAGGGACATTGGCCTCCTTGACGCTCACCTTAGCAAACAGCCCAGCTGGGACACTGCCTTGCTGCCTGCCCTATATGGGAATTATGGTGAAATTGCCTACTATCGTTGTAAAGGGAGCACGGGAGGTGAAATGTCCTTTCCTCCCTCCTCTTCTGCCTCCTACAACCTCCTCCCCTCTCCTGGACTATGCACCCAAACGTAGTTTTGTACAGTACAGTAGGGTCAGGATATACTGAAAAGGGACTTTAAGTAACGATTTTTTTATATCACGGCTACCAAAATTATCGACATTTTCTTATGTATAGCGATAATATTTTATATTTTGCGAGGGAAATCGGGCAGGAAATATTTCAAATTTATCATGACTACCAAAATTATCGACATTTTTCAATATATAGCGATAAATTTATTTACAGTAGACTCACAATTTGTGGGGTTATGTTCCTGGGTCCTCACATAAAGCCAAAAGCAATATAAAGTCAGAAACACTCTTAAAAATCCCCTACATCACCCCAAAAACACAAGTTGAAAAACTGTTCAGTACTTAAATGTACCTGTACTTTATAAGACTAAAAATGTTATCTCTTGTGCAAAATATATGATCTCTACATTCAAATTATTCGCTGTCTTGCAAGGATCCCAGCAATGTAATTTATATTCTGCTAACTTTAGTCTGTGACATTTTATAAGATAAAAACTTTAAGCTTTAAATCACAATCACCCTTACTTGAAGTTGGAGAGGAGTTGATTTATTATGACAGCTGGGCCGGAGCTCGGTTACCTAATGGTATTTATTTATCTGTCATATGAATTGACTTGAGAGAATATAATTCACATTGCTGGAATTCTTGTAAGATAGTGATTAATTTGAATATAAACCTATATTCATTGTTATGCACACAGATTCAACCTGGTGCTTATCCACTGTATCAACAACCTTCAAGATTATCTGGAGTTCTTTTCAACTATCCACACATTGTATAACTTCATCTCTATTAGTAATACAATGCATGAACTTTATGTTCAATCACAAAAAGAGCTTGGACAGGAGGTATTAGAGCTAGAAAGAACTGTGACAACAAGATGGTTCTATTGGTACAGAAGTATTCGCAGAATTCACCTTCGTTATGAAGCCATTCTTGCCTTACTAACTTCTCTATCTGAGTACTGTACAGTAATGAGGCATCTACGGAAGCCTCTGGACTGAAAAAAAAAATGGGAGTCCTGGAGTTCTGTAGTTTGCCTTTTTATTTTTGAAAAACTGTTCTTGCAAACAAATTCTCTGTCCGAGCAGCTTCAAGAAGGAAGTATATCTATAGTTCGAGCTGTGGATCTCATTACAGCCACAAAAGCAAACCTTGTTAAAATTAGATCTGATAGTGAATATGGCATAGTTGTTCCAGAGGCAAACACTCAACAGCATGAAGGATCAGCTTGTAACAAAAGAGTGCAATGAATAACATATACTTTGAAAGATTATCTGTCAAACAGCACCCTTGGTAAGTGTTCAAAACATCTAGAGAATTTTCAGAGAAGCACTTAAAAGACCAACTGAAGTCAGAGTTGTACTTCTCAGTAATTGACAGGTGCACAACTGAATATGATCGGAAGTTTAGCAATAACATTGATCTTCTGTAGTCCATCTCCTCTTTTGATGTTCAATCTAAACAATTCCTTGATGAAGAAAAGCTTGCTTTGTTTTCTAAACATTACAGAGCACACATTGATTCAGTTATGTTATCCTCACAACTGCATTCTGCGAAGGTATTCTTAGATTAGAAGCCTGAGGACCTATTTGATGTGTACCAGAATCTAAATGCATTACCGATTGCTTTTTCTGAAGTACAGGTGCTCCTCTACTTAAGAACGTTCAACTTACAAAATTTCAGAGATACAAGCATCATCACTGAGGGGCATTACCTGCCAGAACAGGTGTTTAATGTGGATGAGACTGGATTATTTTTTAAGAAAATTCCAGATAGAACAAACATTACCTAAGAGGAGAAGAGTGAGCTAGGTTTTAAGGCTGTATTAAAGGGTATAGCTGTACTAAATATCCATAATCTTTTAATTTTTTACAATATGTTTGGTATCTACAAGAGTAAAGTTGGACTTACAAACAATCATCAGGAACATAACTCGTTCGTAAGTTGAGGAGCATCTGTACTCAGTTTGTTATAGTTCGAATGTTATTGGCCATTCCGGTTACTACTACAGGCAATGTAGGATTTTTTTCAGTGCTAAAACGCATCAAAAATGACCTGAAAACAACAACGGGTGATGACCGCCTTTCTAGCCTACTTTTAATGGCTAATGAACAGAAAATGGTTAAATCATTCAATACGGAAGAACTGGTTGGTAATTTTGCTCGACTGAAGCATCGCCGTTACCCTCTGATATAAGAACAGTCAATAGCCACTAGCTGTCTAGTAGATGAGTATGTCATCCTATTCTGAATATTCTGATTTGTTCTCTGATGATTTTTTTTTCTATTTAGTTTTGTCAATATATTAGCTGAAACAATTATTTGGTCAATAATTCAAGAGTTGTACTCTAGATCTCTAGATGTTGGGAAAGAAAAGTTCACTTTGCTGGTATCGTTATTGTTTTCTTAATAAAATTCAAAGACAATATTGGCAACAGGGTCTACCATTAGACAATACATTATGCTTCCAATATCTTCCCAGGTGGTAGTACCTCCCTGTTTGATAGCTGCCTACTACCTACTACCTGGTGGCCAAGTTGGAATATTTAGCTCCCATTGGCATTATGTGATATACACCTGTAGGATCTGTTGTGTGTGCATGTCTATGGGATCACCAATACATAATATATTAAACAATTTATTCATCAATGTTTCAGATAACATACATAATGGTGAATGGGGATTCACAGCTGTTTAGTGTGGAGCCTGAGACAGGTCAGGTTAGCACCTACCGTGGACTGGACTATGAGGCCTCTCCCAGACACACCATCATTATTGGCACCTTAGAAAATTCTCAGGGTGGCTCACAGGTGAGAAAGTCTCTTTGTTGTGGAAAGTGTATTTTCATATTGAATTGGATGTTCGATTTACAGGTATCCCTTGATATATGAATGGGTTAGGTTTCAAAATATCATTTGTTTGGTAAATTTTTGTATCTCGAATAGAAGAACGTATGGGACAAATAGGTACAGTGAGTTCTGCTATAACGCGTGTTTTGATAACGTGAATTTGCTCTAACGCGATTTATGAATTAGGAACGATATTTGTATAATGCGAACGCTTGTTTGCTGTAACGCGATTTTTGCTTACTATTTCTTCAATTTTGTGGTATTAACTGTGAATATGGTAAAGCAGAATATCTCCAAGAAGCGTTCTGGTGATAGAATTCCCGGTGATGATCGTAAAAGAAAGGATATAACACTTGAAGAGAAGCTCGATGTTATCAACCTCAAAATCACCCTTCTCCCCCATCAAGTTATATTCATATTTTTTCAAGGTAAAGTATTACATTTACTGTATGATTTCATTATTAGATATGAATGTAACATTTATTTAGACTGTGCTATCCTTTGTGTTAGGCTAACTACTAAATTTTTTCGATTTCGAGTAATCTGCACCTAACCCTATTTTCTCCATAAGCCCTGTTATTTCTATTACGCGATTTTCTATAACACGATATTTTACAAGAACACAATTATCGCGTTATAGCAGAACTACCTGTATCCCTTGATATACTAATAGGTAAGGTTAAAAAAAATGTAAGGTAAATTTTCATATCTCAAATAGAGGAACATATAGGAAAAACAGGGTTCAGTTCCCCAATGACAAAAATACCCCCAATATCATACCCCCAAAACATGAATAAAACCAACCTATTAATGATAAATAGTACACTACTAATCTAATTTACTACCTAACACACAAAAAGAGTAATAAAATACTGTTTAACTCTGGTACATTACCTTTTGAGAGGCATAACACACACGACCCACGCGGGATGTGTGGAAGGTTCTGCCCATCCCTGGTGACTGTCAATCCGAGGCAGTTGAGCTGTGTTACAATGCCCATAGGATGGTTCTCTTGTGGAAGAAGCTATTATTGTATTTGTACATAAAATACTATACTGTACAGGTAGTTCTGCTATAACGCGATAATTGTGTTCTTGTAAAACATCGTGTTATAGAAAATCGCGTAATAGAAATAACAGGGCTTATGGAGAAAATAGGGTTAGGTGCAGATTACTCGAAATCAAAAAAATTTAGTAGTTAGCCTAACACAAAGGATAGCACAGTCTAAATAAATGTTACATTCATATCTAATAATGAAATCATACAGTAAATGTAACACTTTACTTGATGGGGGAGAAGGGTGATTTTGAGGTTGGTAAAATCGAGCTTCTCTTCAAGTGTTATATCCTTTGTTTTACGATCACCACCGGGAATTCTATCACCAGAACGCTTCTTGTTGATATTCTTCTTTATTATATTCACAGTTAATACCACAAAATTGGAGAAATAGTAAGCAAAAATCGCGTTAGAGCAAACAAGCGTTCGCGATATACAAATATCGTTCAAAATTCATAAATCGCGTTAGAGCAAATTCACGTTATCAAAACACGCGTTATAGCAGAACTCACTGTACCAGTAACTACAATATGGGGAATAAATAAAAATATAAATAAAAAAAAATACTGTTATCATTTGGCAATCTTGCCACTATGCACGATACAGCCGTGACCCCTGAGAGAACCCTGCTGCCCCCCTCACTCTCTTTTATGTGTTTTACCTAATGATAATTATGATTTTTTTTTTGCACATTCTATGTGAATAATAGTGTGTGCATGTAATGGAGCAAAAAAAAAACAAAGAAGAAGAAAATTATGTACATCAACCCTAAATACAAGTTAAAAATAACAATTACGCAGCTCACAGCTGGAGGCTGAGATACCAACACTGCATCCCCCTCCCATAGCATTACCCATCCCAAGATTTCTGGGGTCATAAGAAATTTTTATTCCCTATATGTTTTTGACCTTATGCTAATTACAGGTACAATAAACCCTTGTTATTCATGGGGTTTAGGTTCCAAGGAATGGCACAAATAGGCAATACTGTGAATAGCAACTTATACTACCTTAGTGCACTACTGTATATCTATACCACACAACCGACCAACCGTGGCAGCACTCATCTCCTCTTTTAACTTATCTAATACAGTTGTACCCCACTTAACGCAGTCAATAGAACCCAGAGGGTCCCGTGTTAAGTGAAATCCGCGTTAAGTGAACAACAGAACATATGGGATTAATTCCAATAGAAACCGGCCCGACCCCCAAACTCCACTTTTTGAAGACACATAACTATGTTGTAGTGAAAATAACATCTTAATTTTATGATGGTACATGCACACAATTAATACTTAAGAGAAATAGAGAAATACAGTCGCCAAGTTAATGTCCATTCAAATAATGGACTCAACTCCCTCTCACACTACACTGCCGGCTCTTCCCTCTCTGAGAAATTTTTGGGGGAAAACCACTAAATTTTAATAAATAATACCTCAAACTAAAGTTAGGATAATACAATTGACATTGCTGGATTCCTTGTAAGACCAGGAATATTTTGAATATAAATGTCATATATTTTGCACAAAAGATAACATAGTTACCCAGAGAAAAAATTTTATCTAAAATTTGTATGTCTAATGCAAAATATATGATGTTTATATTCAAAATGATCACCAAATTATAAGAATTCCAGCAATGTAAATTATATTCTGACCGGTAATTTGTATGAATTTTATGAGCTAAAACAAATATCTTCAGTTAATAAAAAAAAAATAATCTTCACGACACTATCTGTCAATCAAAGTACCCCACCTTGCCTCCCCCCTCTTCCAACCGCGCGGTCAGTCCCAACCCTCCCCCCCACCCCCCACCAATCCTCCCTTCAAGAGATGTGGGGTGAAAAAAATAAATTTTAACATTTTGTATTAAATAATACCTCAGATTAAAGTTAGGATAATATAATTGACATTGCTGGATTCCTTGTAAGACCAGGAATATTTTGAATATAAATGTCATATATTTTGCACAAAAGATAACATATTTACTCAGAAAACATTTTATCTAAAATTTGTATGTCTAATGCAAAATATATGATGTTTATATTCAAAATGATCATCAAATTATAAGAATTCCAGCAATGTAAATTATATTCTGACCGGGTAATTTGTATGAATTTTATGAGCTAAAACAAATATCTTCAGTTAATAAAAAAAAAAAATATTCTTCACAGGGTAACAGATGGTCGGTCGGTCCCTCCCTCCCCCCCACCCCCCACCAACCGTCCCAAGGAGATGTGTGGGAAAACCAGAATACTTAACTTTTTTGTAATAAATAATACCTCAAACTAAAGTTAGGATAATATAATTGACATTGCTGGATTCCTTGTAAGACCAGGAATATTTTGAATATAAATGTCATATATTTTGCACAAAAGATAACATAGTTACTCAGAGAAAAAATTTTATCTAAAATTTGTATGTCTAATGCAAAATATATGATGTTTATATTCAAAATTATCACCAAATTATAAGAATTCCAGCAATGTAAATTATATTCTGGCCTGGTAATTTGTATGAATTTTATGAGCTAAAACAGGCAGTCAGGCAGGGTGTCGGGTGGGGCAAATCTAAAAATAGCGTCTCGAGCCGGACACTCACCGCGTATATGTGGAAAAAATCCGTGTTAAGTGAAAGTTCAGCTCTGGCGAGGCACCGCGTATATGATAAAACGCGTTAAGTGAAACCGCGTTAGGCGGGGTAATACTGTAATTCAACTTTCTTTGTCAGGGTCATCACTAACTTCTGCCTTTTACATTTCACTCCACTAGCATCACTAGCACTGACACTAGGCAGTCTCTTAGGGTCCATTTCATACAGAAACGATAAAGTTTTGAGAGTACAAAACGAAATACTGCATCACAGGCAATGGTTGAGCGAGAACGGAGGGAAAGGTGATGCTGTGGGTGTGTGGGGTGACTCGTTGTGCTGAGGGAAAAGTTTCACGAGCTAGCCACCATCACCTTACTGCAAATGGCAAGGGTCTACTGTATTTTTCTTTTTCTTTTTAATTTTTTTGTATTATTATTTTATTTTATTTTATTATATATATATATATATATATATATATATATATATATATATATATATATATATATATATATATATATATATATATATATATATATATATATATATATATATATATATATATATATATATATATATATATACACCTCACCATTACACCAAGTAGCTGCCGTATACACACACCAACACCACCCACACATCACACACACACACACACACACATCACACACACACACACACACCTCCAACAACCACCCACACACATCCTCCAACAACCACCCACACACACCCTCCAACAACCACCCACACACACCCTCCAACAACCACCCACACACACCCTACTTCACCCACACACACCCCCTACTTCACCCACACACACCCACTTTCTCCACCCACACACACACACCCTCACACCACCCCACACACCATACACTCATGCCACACACACACACACACACACACACACACACACACACACACACACACACACACACACACACACACACACACACACACACACACACACACACACAACACACACACACACACACACACACACACACACACATGCGCACGCACGCACGCACAGAGAGATTTGGAAAGCTGCCACTCTGCCTACCCCTAGCTAAGGTGCTCCGTGCTGCATACCCCGTCTGACTTCTCCACTTGACTTCATGGTGGAACCCTGTGGATACTTAAAACTTTACAGAATGGTATGAAAAACTGGTGACAATCAATAATAGTGGATACTGAAAACTGGTTGGAGAGGGATGACTGCAATGTTTACAACTTAAATTCTTTTGCATTTAGTTTCTTTTTTGTATTTATTGATTTAGGCTATTAGAATTTTATTTGTACAGTATTAGTACTGTTCCCACTCATTTATTAGAAAATATTCATTTTAATATTTATATATTTTCAGTCAACATGTTCGGTGTTAGTTACGGTAGAAGACACCAACGATAATCCACCTGTGTTTAGCATGTCAGTGCGACCCATCACCATCCCTGAGGCATCACCCCCTGGTACCTTCATGGCTACAGTTATTGCCACTGACGCTGATGGTACTGGACCTAATAATAAAGTAAGTATAGTAATTTTTGATGACTTTCAGTTCTTTTACATCTCCGAGAGATGCATGCATCAAGGTTTGAAGTTCCCTCTTCAGACTCCAAAAGCAGTAGTTTATAGGACTAGTTAAAAGTTTATGAATTCCTCAAAAGAAATTTGCAAAATATTGGAGAAATTCAAAGATAGTACCAGTATTGTCTGTAGCAGGGATGTACTCTACAGAAATGTAAAATTATTGTGATAAAGAATGAAAGATGATTAATCATGAAATCCTATATTCTATCAGAGCCCACAGCCAGGTGACTCTCCTAATACAGTTTGTTTATTGGGATCTCCTTATTGTTCCCTGTAATGCAAGTTCAGGATGATCTGTTAACCCACTTTGAGTACACTAAATGCCCTTCCCTCCCCATCTCATCCGTAGCCCACAAAAGTTACCCTCATGAGGCAGATCTCATAAAGTTATTACTGTCTCAACAGCATGCTTAATGCCACATCTTCTGTTTTTCATATTTGATTTCATGAACACTCCATCATTTTGAAATTCGTTTCCAGGTGACTATAATGCACATATAAAAGGAGCAGGGGGAGTATCCAAGACACCTGGGGCTGACAATGGGTTTTGCTATAAAAAAGAATTTAAGGAACAGTCCTCCATTTCTAGTGTAACCTCTTAAGTCAGGCAACTCTCATAATCTAAATCCAACTAAATTAGAAAGGGGAGTTGTTACTACATAAGCTCTAAGGAGTGAACTGACATGCTCCTCCTAGGAGAGTAGACACTGTTTTTTTCCTATCTATTAAGGCCTAAAGGATACTTCTCATTACCAAACATTTTCTTCACTGTTATTCAGGAATCTCCAGGAAAGAAGCTGTCAGTATCTAGAAGAGCAATAATCAATGGGAAATGTGTCTTCTTGTAAATATAAGTAAAGATGGGTCCCATAGGTATGACTGTCCAATAGGAGTAGTGTGGATACTGTACACTATACAGTAAGGTGGTCTCAAAAAAATAGGTTCCCATTTTTAAATGCGGCACCTTCCCAAAATGTTTCATATAATGAGAAAATAATTCACTGAAAATATTAGCTCTATCAAACAATATTGAGGGGTTAGTACTGAGATTTGAAATTTCACCATTATATGAAGTTGACATTCTTCCAATCCTCCTTTCTGGAGGCGATGTAATGCAGCTCATCCGGGTCCCGAAACTACTGTCTGGCACTGGAAATTCTGTGGCAGAGGCTGTCAATGGGGCTATTGAGCAATTGTCAGTAAAAGACCGTGTTGTGGTGATGTGTTTCAACATGATAGCATCTAATACAGGTAGAGTGAATGGAACCTGTATTCTGTTGGAGTGAAAGATGGAGAAGGAACTCTTACATCTGGCCTGTCAACGCCACATTCTTGAAATTGTGTTGGGAGTGGCCTTCACCTCGGTGATGGGTTTGTCGACAGTTCCCAATATCCTGATTTTCAAATGTTTCCAGAAGCAGTGGAGGTTAATTAATATAGTGGTCCCTCGGTTAACGAGCACAATCCGTTCCAGCAGGTTGCTCGTTAACCGAAAAACTCGTTAAACGAAACCATTGTTTCAATGGGTTTTTGGGTAATTGGTTCCAGCTCACCGAAAATTGCCTAAATTCAACAAAAAAGGTAGAAAAGTACACTTACTTTGAGGTGTGTATGTAGAAGGCTCCTGGATGATGATGATGATGATGGGAATTAGAATGGGGGTGGAGGAGAAGGGAGAAGAGAAGGCTTTTGGGGTGGAAGAGAAGTCACCCCATGGCACCATTTCACCCATAAAATTTTAGTTTTCTTGGTGTAATTCAAGATTATTTTCTTTAAATCAACACTGCACTGCATTATATATTGTCAATATGTAAAATAAATTTCAAAATGACCAATAATTTGCTTGGAAACACAGAAAAAAAGCGTTTAGTTGAAGAGAGTCTCAAGCAAAATGTTACCTCCACTGAAAACAGAGAGACTAACACCTGTCTGGTGTGTTAACAGGCTGGATGGCACGCCAGAAACTAGTTTCTTTACCTTCAATTATGTTCAATAATTGTTAAAATGACTAAAAAAGTTAATATTAAACTTTTAAAATTATTGAATAGTATAAACTTCTTGATATTTACTAAAATAGTAAGGAATTTAAGCCCTAAAACCATTTACTGTATTGGCGGACTAATACTACAGCTGGTGGACCGCCAAATGCAAGCGAAAACATGTTGAAGTCGGCTCGTAAAAATCTCGATAATCGAGGGATTGCTCGTTAACCGAAGTTAAAAATAGTTAACCGAAATCTCGTTAACCGAGGCGCTCGTTAACCGAGGGATCACTGTATAAGCATTCCCTTAACAGTGATGCAGCAATGGACAAGAACTCAGATCTGTGGTTGCTGGAAATCGCAGACGAGATCATCAAGTTTACGACGGAACAATTTAAGATCCACCAGCAGGATGACTACCAAGAACTGCTGGAGCTATCAATCATCTTCCTGGGCAGGGTTCCTCCCCATGGGATCCACTTAATCGGGCTCCATGAGGTCTCCATCGCGCCAGGTGGATGACCAAAACCATCTTTTCTTTGAAGCTCTGGATGTTCCTGGCTCAATTCAAGCTGACTCCACAGGAGGAGACCAATCTGAAGGCAGTATGCAAGGTATATCTGAAGGTATATCTCAAGACCTTGGTTCTTTGTTCCTGTGCCCCATTTCGCTCCTGCACAAAACCTCTGGCTGTTGAGGGAGCTCCAACGCTACCACACTCTGGAAGACAAAAGACCGATGGCCCAGGAGATGCTCCACCTAAGAAGGTTTTAGTAGACATGTCTGCCATTCAGGAGAAAAAGACCAGTTCTTTTTTCTGCAGACAATCCTGTAAATTCTTTCGAATTTTAGAGCTAAATGACAGTGTCCTACTGAAGACCCCTGAAGACTGGGAGTCAGATGCTGCATTCCAGAAAGCCAAGGAAGTAGCCACACATCTCCAATTTGTAAACGATTTGGCAGAAAGAGGAGTTGCACTGATGACAGAGTATAGCATGCTGATTACTTTTGATGAAGAACAAAAGCAATACTTTCTGCAGGTCATGGCAGACCACAGAAAGCATTTTCCTACACCAAAAAAGTCTGGATTGGTCTAGAATAGAGTCTTATTCTACACAGTCAAAGAAAGAGAGTTGGTATTGGTCCCTCCGTTACAGCTACCATTGACACGTATTATTGTTAAAAAAAAAAGCCATTTTTTTCTAAAAAACAGTTTTTGTGATATAACCCATATAAGGATCCAAGTCCATCTCAACATAACTCTAGAATGCTAGTAAGACCGGAAGGTCAGCATTCCGGAAGGAACGCTAAGAGAAGCAGCCTCGCTAAAGTTCGCCTAGAAAGGCTGAACCCGCTACTGAGGACATCAATAAAATAAAGTTATGAAGAGAAAAACTCAACTCTGGTCTTCATGCTGAGGGCAATTAGAAAACCCAGGGCAGAAGCCCAAAAGTTTTTGTGAACGAACATAAGAGTAGGAAGAAAGATAGCCACATGGTATTCATACTAGCACGTGTGTAATTGGGACAAAGAAAATCGTAAACAGTGTGTATATATATATATATATATATATATACATACATATATATATATATATATATATATATATATATATATATATATATATATATATATATATATATATATATATATATATATATATATATATATATATATATATATATATATATATATATATATATATATATATATATATATATATATATATATATATATATATATATATATAGAAATACATATACATATCTATATAATTTCTTTCAGTGAAGACGAGCCCGGGAGGGCGCAGCCACTGAGTGACTTAAAAGCAAGGAATAGTCTCAAACGATCTATAGTGACTTCATAAAGAAGATGTGTTGTGGTCGCATGATGCTGACCAGAGATCGTATAAGAAATTGTCCCAAACATAATAATTGAGAGACATATATAAAATAAAAGTCACTCTACTTCCTCACTGTGCTGAGAAGTATAAATACCGTATATAAAATCCTCATGGAACTTAGTATTTCAGCAATTACAACACAAATTAGCGTAGCCTTCTTTATGTGTATTTACAGCTGAATCGCCAGGCAAGAAGATGAAGGTGGCAGTGCGTGTGATGGAGGGTGGGTTTGGGGGTTTCGACAATTTCAATTAAATGCCAGTTAGCGATGTGTCCTCCTAATATTACTTATTAAGTAATTATTAGATGTTTTAATTGCCTGTATGTTGGCCTGGCGAGTTTCTGCTAGGCATTAACATACCTAGGTTAAAAGCTAAGAGTCGCATTCTGAGGTTGAACAAAAATTATTATTACGAAATGTCATCCTCAGTAGCAACCTCCAAATATTATTTGATTGTAGTGAAATTTGTACTGTAGTATTTTCTTGTCAAATATAACATTTTGGCAGGGTGCCCCGATTAAATTTCACCGTTTCAGTTTTTACCCCTGTTTTTGGACCACCCTACTAAACAGTATACACTAAGCCTTTGGAAGCTATGTAAGGAAACGGTATTGACATCACTGTATTTCACTTCCTTAATTGTAAAGTATAAAATTATATACCTATTTGCAGGTGGGTGAACTTGGAGTGTCAGTGGATGAAAGCATTGAGCCTTAGGACAGGAGACGAGTGCTGAGGGTCAATGGTTTGATTTCAGGGCACTCCCAGTCCACCCGACTGTAAATAGGTACAGTCAACAAAAATAATTATCGTGTCGCTTTCCATACTTTTCATTCTGGAACACAGGATGAAATTTTTAGGAAACCTAGGTATGCCAACCCAACACATACCATGAGTGGCTGAGGTATTTGTTTATTCCCAATTCCAACGGACCCCAGGGGCACGATAATTTTTTTGTTGACTGTACCTAACTTTATAAGTTGTGGAAGTAGTTAGTCAAGTGTAGTGCTGGCCACACTGCCTCTTTGGCTATTGTAGGCTTAATGAACAAGTGTGCTGTATCCATCATCCCCCTAATAGGCCATCATGCCTCTAGGACCCAATTTCTTCTTGGAGATGAGTTGGATAAAATCATCTCCTAGGTTATGAAGCAGAAGAAAGATTCCTTGAGACCATTTAATCTTCAAGCATTAAAAACTAGGAGAATTCAGTGGCTCCTGAAACTCCAGATACAAAGTTATAACAGAACACTAAAATTATGCCTTCTTCTGGTACAGAACAGTTAACAGGGATCAAAAGAAGTCATATGTTTCATGGGCTTACAGTAGTGGTAGTTTCCTTAAGAATACTGTACTGTACAGAAATCAAATAGAAATAGCAATACTCTACACCTATTCACCTATTCAACCAAAAATATGTTGTTTTAAGAATAAATTCAATTCTGTATGCTGTATAAACAAAAATATATGCCATCACAACACACACAAGCTTGCAAACTCACTCTTAAATCATAACAATAATAATTTTACTTAATGCATTTTTCCTTAGCATAATGAATTTTGGGATGTACCGGTATCTGTTGTGTTAACCGACGAATTCCTGTATTTTTTAGTTTTAAGCGCATCTCCCTTCCCCTTCATCACTTCCCATCCATCCTACTACCAACATTTGTGAGGGAGAGGCAAACAGATACTGTCACTCTTTTTTCCTAGACTGTATGTACAATGTGGGTTCCATCCAGGGTTTTTACTTGTGTTATCATTATCAGGAACTTGTGCCTTCTTTATGCTTATCACATGCTCCCCCCTTTAATTTATTGACACCAAAAGTAAAGGCTGTTTTTACATTTCTGTACTGTATTGTGCAGCATTTATTTTACCATTACAAGTCAGTAAATGCCATTTCAAGAAGGATAACAGATTAATTTTATCATACACTTTCTAAAATGAATGATGCTGCATAAGATAATAGCTTAACATGACAGCATGGAAGCTGACTTTTTTTTCATAATTGTGAGTTAAGATTATACTCCCGAATAATGATTTATAGAGAGTAAATTAACCATAATATGATTGCTCATACACTGATTCTGGCCTCTGTTTGTCCATAATAGGTGGAGTATGAGCTGGTGGGTTATAATAATGCTCCAGATTACTTCGCAATTGATAAGGAATCTGGCATAATCACTGTTAAAACTAACCTTCAGGCTGAACAAGATTCTGATTTTGAGGTAAGTTTAAGCAATTAAATATGCTTTATTAATTTTATATTGTGCTTTTGGTAAATATTAGATTAAAATTATAAATTTATGCAACTTATACCATAATCATTAAGTTTGAAATGAAATGGGCCATATCTAAAGCAGATAATGTAGTAATCATTGCCTGTTTTGTGATATAGTACACATACAGTATACTTGATTTGTGGATTGAAAACAAACTCAAAGAAGTTGAAAAAAATGTTTTTGCTGCAACTGAGAAAATAAATATGAACTTTCAAAAAAAATTTTGACTGAAGGTTTGCTTAGGTTGTGGCAGAGATGTATATTTTTGAGGAGTAAAATAGAAGATTAGAGGAGGTTCTACAGGAATTACACACCCTTTAGGACAGTAAGAAGGATAGAAACACATACTACTTACATAAGAGCGAAGAAGCTTCATGACTGCAAGGAGTACATAAACAATATTGTTGTTAATGGAATCCCTGAATGTCACTTGGATGAGGAAAAAACCATAACCTGGCTTGCTTTCATCAGAATTGTGATATTTATCTGAATATGACAGTTGCCCCAAATAAAATTGCTGGGCTAGAGAATGCCCTTGAGAATAGACTGGGCCTTCAGGGTCAAAGTGAATGGTGGGAAAGCAGAGCATCCTGTCAGTTCAAAGGCAAGAAAACTTGCAGAGAACAGAACTCACTCCTACTGAACTTCTACTGAATACAGTAACTTAGAGTAAGGTACATGAAGAACTTTAGATGCTTGTCAATTAGAGCAAAGAAGAATCAAAGAACAACAGGTGGAATCTGTTTGTAATATTCAAGGGAAAAATAGTAGATGCAAATTCATATATGGACACCACAATGAACACTTTGTGGAAATATTAAAAATCCTCAAACGCCACAATTTCCTTACTATGTGGAGCTTGACACTGTGTAAACATACTTATTGACACTCCCAAATTCTACCATATATGTAAATGGTTTCGATGTTTCATAAGTTCAACATTTTGTATTGTTCAGAGTCATCACTGTATGTATGTATGTATGTATGACCTGTGGTGTAATGGTCAGCATGCTCGCCTCGTAAGCAAGTGTATCTGGGTTTGACCCTCGGGCAGGGTGAAACTATGGGGAAATTTCTTTACGCCATTTGCCTCTGTTTACCCAGCAGTAATTGGGAACCTGGGCTGGTATACAAAACACAAGGGCCTTAATTTTACCTTTAAGTTAAAAGACCTCGGGAGCACTTTTAAGTCCCTTAATAGTCGTCTGTTAGTTGATACCATGGCGAACCAACTAGAACATCAGCGGCGGCAACGCATTTATCGGGAAAGGAGAGATATGTTTAATGAATATAGTGTGTATATATTAAATATAGTGTGAATATAGTGTGTGTATTCCCTCTTTATAGCAGAGATCTTCTTTCTTGACTTGGACAATACTGAGAATTAGCGTGTCTCACACTCTGCCACTGACCTCACCACACCAGGAAATGCAGCATTGGCTCTCATGGTGATTTCCAGCCATGCCCTTTGGTTATTTTTTGTTAACCACCCATCACCTATTTTCAAATGAAAAAGCCATTTTTTTTTCTAAATAACAGTTTTGTAATTAAGTCCAGAATGCAATGACTAGCTTTATACCTAAGTATGTAAATGCCTTGCATTAACTCGCTAGTTTTCTTGCTGTTTTAGACGATTCTGACATTTATCTTTGGGGCAAATCACTTTTTAGTTAGGTTAAGTTAGTAGAATTATAATTCAACATATGCAACTAACCCTATAAAAAGGTGGTTACCCCAAAGACTAATGTCAGAATCATTTAAAACAGCAAAAAAATTAGCGAAAAATATATTTTTCATGTGAAAATAATGATGGGCGGTTAACAAAATGAGAGCGACGCTGCGTGTCACCATAACATCAAATTGGGACTTCAAAAAACTTGTGTTTTTATGACTAATAAATCACGAATATCGTGTTTATTTTTATAATGTGATTCTGATCTTTTAAAATGTTAGTTTTTGTATAATGTAGTATTACTGATACGTAATTTGTCTTAGTATGCCTTATTGTGGGTAAAATTAAGTATATATTAAATGCGTCCTCCAAAAGCATGAATTTGTTACCAGAGTTTAACAGTTAATTCATGTATAAGATTTCTGATACACTTCCTACGTGCTCATGTTTGAAATAATGAATGTATGTATCTTTATATAATTTAGCTAAATATCTCATCCCAACGACTATGAATAAACTCATTTAGAAATACATCATTACTTCAGGACACTATCAGATAGATTTGCAACTGCCATTCAGCTGAAACTCCTGAGGAGGGGGCGGGGCATCTCTTCTCAGCTGGGAAAAAATGCACTATAGTGCAATGAGACACTGGGAAACAATCTTCTGTTGCAACATATCATTGACCCAACCTACAATAGATATGAGCAAACACCCTACTTTGACTTTTGTTTTTTACTTCTATCCTTTTTGCCACTGATCGGCTCGTTAGCCGCATGGGTGGTCGGTCACGTCTCTGTTACGTACTGGGCGTGCACTGGCTCCTGAATATATCAGAACCTTCTCCAGTGTTGGTGAAATTTGGCTTTGAAAGAGCTCACACTTGGTGTTGTCACAACACTCTCTGGCAGATTGTTCCAAGAGTTCACAATTCTCTCACTCTGAAAAGTTTGCCCTCACTGTTTTTGGACTTGTGGCTTCTTCAGCATTGAGCTGTGACCCCTTGTAGGTCGGGCATCCGCCATCTCCAGGTATGTAGGTCGCCTTTGCCCATCTATAGTATAAGCTAGGCAGTTGCAGGCATTCTAATCTCTCTGGGTAGCTGGGGTTCCGTAGAACAGGCACCAGTCTGGTAGCAATGACTGTTATATGATGGATCTATAAACTCTCAATCAGTTTTATGATGTTCAAAACCTTAACACCATTTACCACTATGCATTGGCTAAAGATCAGTTTTACGATGGTCACTATCCAAATGCTTTTCCTGCATTGTCACTGCTATGAAAAAGTGATGCGCAATAACTCGCAATATTCCGAGATATGATGACGCAATCTTGGAATGGCAAAACACATGCGATCCACTTGGGATATCTGGGAGGTTCTGTCTGTCCTCGGTGATTGCCAGGCTAAGCAGTTGAACTGTGTCACGTCGTCCAGAGGATGGTTTGTGAGTGGTAGACATTATTCTTTGTACATAAAATAATGTATACTGCACCTGTAAATGTGAAAAATAGATAAAAGTATTAATAATAAAGAAAATAAAAGAAAAAAATACTGCAGTGCCATTTGGCAATCTTGTCACTACACACAAGACAGTGGAGCCGTGAGGGAACGCTGCTCCCACACTCTCTGTGCTAGCTCCCTTATGTAATAAATGTGTAATCCCTTTATATATTTTACCTTATGATAATCTTCATTTTTTCTGCACATTCCTTATTAATGCATGTAGCGGAGTAAAAACAAAATTACTTATATCAACCCGAAATTGCAAATTGAAAAATAATAATAAAGCAGCTCACAGCTTGGCAGGAGGCTGAGATACTTATGCCTCACCCCCTTTCCTGCTCCCATGATTCACACTAACTCACAGGGACGTAAAACACATTTGTTCTCTTTATCTTTTTGACCTAATTATAATAAATAAAAAATTTCACAATTCTATTTGAAAGATTGTGTACATAAGAAATGTTTATTCCCTCTATGCTTTTGACCTTATGATAATTATTATTATTTTTTTTATTCTGATGAAAGATTCTGTTCATGTAACAAAGTTAAAAACATGAAGAGAATTGTGTATGTTTACCCGCAATTACTTGTACAGGTATCCCTAGAGATAAAATAGTTAGGTTTAAAATAAATATTCATTACATGAATTTACGTATCTTGAATAGAAAAACATAATGGAAAAAAGGGTTCGATTCCCCTATATCAAAAAAATCCCAATATCATACCCCGAAAATACAGAATCGGTTCACAATCAAAATTTATTGATTGATTGTGGTAATTATATCCCTGGCAATGCAACAGCTTAGGTCATATGCCCCCAAATTAAACTAAAATCTTATAAGTCTAAAAAAATAAATAGGTGTAATGCAAGGCAAAAAAAAAAAAATAGCCAGAATATAACTCCTACTCCAAATGGAGGAGCGATAGGGGTTGTGGCTACCGAAGGACCCAGGGGCATGTGATTTGAATTTTGCCAGGACCCAAATTTATATAAGTTTGGAAAGCTTTCGTAACTTGAATTAATGGTGTCAATTTAGGAAATTCGAAAGAGCATTTTCGTATCTCAATTGTTTGTATCTCGAGGAATACCTATACAGTACTGTTTATAACTTGACTTTGCCAGAGCATTTGGCAGTGTACCTCATAGAAGCTGAAAGTTAAACTGAGCAGACATAAAATACAGGGTAATAACCTATCATGGATTAGTGACTTTGTATTGCTCAAAAACAGTGTACCTGCATTGCAGAGTGACAGGGTTGATGGTGTCTGTTTTATAAATGGTATGCCAGATGTTATTCTCTCATCTGTACAATTGTTTGCCAATGAAACAGAGTTTCTAGATAAACTGTCACATTTTTAATAAATTAGTTTCTGATTATTTGCGAGAGTATTTTCCCATTATTATTTATTTAGACAGTGGTGTGTGTCTACACACACACACACACACATAACACACACACACACACACACACACACATATGAGAACTCACTTACGCAGTCAATTGAACCCACGGCGCCCAGAAAGTGAGAAATGCGGAAAGTGAACAAATATAACATATGGATTAATTGAAATAGAGATCGGCCACCCCCAAATTCCACTTTCAGACACAAACCTATGTTTTAGTAAAAATAACTTAATTTTATGATGGTAGCACACACAATTAATAATTAGAGATATATCAATATTATTAGGTTTTTTAACACTTACATTAGTAGAAAAGATGGCTGGGCACGGGATGGGGGTTGGTTCCGGAGAAGCGAGATTATTGGCCCTCACCTGTATCACTTGTATCAATTGTATCACTATCCACCACAGAGGCCTGCAGGCCTCTTTGTCAAACCCCTCAAAGTCCATATAAGTCCATATCCTCACTATCATTATCACTATCACTGACTTGGGCGGCTGTGGTGGGTGGCGGCAGAACTTGGAATGTTTGATGATCTGACCTTGTGCTCACCTGCTCATGCAGCTCTCCTGCGAAAAGGGTACACAATCATGAAAGTGAGCATCTGTCTGTAGGGTACCGCTAAATGTGAAACGCTGGAAAGTGGTACCACGTAAAGCGAGGGTTGACTGTACTGTATATACACTGCAGGTAAAAGAAATAATTGTCCTAAGGGCAAGCACATAAAGGGAATATACATTTCTTTGTACAAAAGTACATATGTAACACACACACACACACACAATTCTTATGAGATTTTATGTAAAATTTATTGTCTATTAACTGACAGTTGGAGATTGTAGCTCGAGATGGAGGAAAGCCACAACTGAGTACCACCTCAACAGCTTCAATATCAGTAGAGAGGGTGATAGCTGAACCACCTCCTGCTGAAGCCTGGGCAACATTTACTGATACACACTTCTCTTGAAGTGTTAGAGAATGCTGAGACACTATGGTGAAGAAACTTACTGTACTCAACAGACCTGATATTGCCAGACACCTTCACTGTACTATACTGATGGAAACAATGATGGTGAGTGAAGATATTAATTATATTTATTTAAGAAAAGTTACCAGACACTCTCACTGCTTTACCAAGAATTTGACAGTAGTATTTGTATCAAATTTATATATCAATAAGCATACAAGCACTATTTAGCATTTTAATGCACTGTATTTTTACAAAATACATTAAATATTATTTTTGGCTTGTGCAAGCATAGCAAGATGACTTGTCTGAAATGATGATAAGGCACTTACTACAGATGGCAGTCTGCAAGTATTTTTTCAACCAACAGCATTGGTAAAAAAATTCTGAAGACGGCTAAATAACTATCTGAGCTCAGATGCTTTATATAACTTATTCTTCAGACTACAGTTGACTTTAGACCAAAGTTTCAAATTAACTCAACACACACACACACACACACACACACACACACACACACACACACACACACACACACACACACACACACACACACACACACACACACACACACACACACACACACACACACACACACACACACTATACCTCTTTCATCACCACACAATACACATTTACTACTAGACACTACACATTTACAACAATTCACTACACACCACCACACACTACACATTCACCACCACACACCACATTCACCACCACACTACACATTCACCATCACACACAACACATTCACCATCACACACAACACATTCACCACCACCGTACACATTTACCACTATGCACTACATACACACATTCACCACCACATACTACACATTCACCACCACATACTACATATTCACAACCACACACTACACATTTACCACCACACTACTCATTCACCACTCACTATACATTTGCCACCACATACTACACATTCACCACCACATACTACACATTCACCACCACATACTACATATTCACAACCACACACTACACATTTACCACTACTCCTCAGTCACCACTCACTATACATTTGCCACCACATACTACACATTCACCACCACATACTACATTCACCAACATACTACATATTCACAACCACACTACACATTTACCACCACACTACTCATTCACCACTCACTATACATTTGCCACCACATACTACACATTCACCACCACATACTACACATTCACCACCACATACTACATATTCACAACCACACACTACACATTTACCACTACTCTACTCAGTCACCACTCACTATACAGTACATTAACCACCACTGCACTCTGAGCATCACACCGTAGGTAATCACAACCACTCCCCACACCAAACACCACACACAACATACTAGTAACCACCTGGAGCCAGTACATTCCCAGTACCTGTACTGTACTAGCCAAGCTGATCAGAGGCAAACAGGATAAAAGTAACAACCTGTGTCTTAACAACTGTTCATAATGTCTTTAGTAGTTGTTATATCAGTACTGTACAGGTATAGCTCTTCCCCCAAAATTCCAGCTCTTGAAGCTGGTCGTAATGTAATTAGGAGTAAATACAGTAGTTTAGTTCTGCTAGTCCATTAAGCATTACTGTACATTACCTGTATGTGAGTGTTTTACTGTCAGATAAATTTTCATTGTTAGAAATATAAAAAATTGTGATAGATGTATACTTTCTTTCATTCAAGTAGTACAGTACAATTTATGACAAATTAAGGAAAAATATAATTTCTTTCACCAGGCTGTTGTTGAAGTAAAGTTGTAAGATGTGTTGAATTATCTTAAAAAATTATCATTCATAAATATGATATTTATGCCAAATTCACATTCTTTTGCAGGAATGTTTGCCACAGAAGTAACAGTTGAGCGCCATTGTGGGCTTGTTCTACGAGCACCTCTTGACTTTGAATCCAAGCAGCACTATTCCCTGACAGTGGCTTTGGAGGCTCCCTCAGCCCCACCAGATACTGAAAACAGATTTGCAAAGGTAAATTTGGTTTATAAATTTTATTTGTTGTTACTATTTGAATCAGATATTACAGAAATATGATGATAAAGAATTCTCAAAAGGTGTACAAAGATGTTATTAATCTCTGACTTTATAGTTCATGATTGTGTAAAATCTAAAATTTACTGATTCAATTAGATTTTCTAAAGTGCTGTTGATTCTCTGAAAATAAAGTTCAGTACATGTACCGGACCAATTAACCACCAAACTTGGGACCTGAGGTGAACAGGTTTCCAGAATTTGGCAGATTTCTGGTCCTAAGCCTAAATATATACAGTAGACTCAAGAACTTAAGCGTATTTCTCTTACGTGGTTTCAAATATATGTATTACCCTGGGGTTTGCGTACTCAATTTCAAACTAAAAATTCAAATTGGTTTACAAAACACTAGCCCGCCAAAGCTCCACCCCCGCCATTTAAGTTCTATCTACATAAAGTTTTTCACAAATTAATATTTTGTTCGATATATGTAACTTTCTTCATTTATTTTTACTCACTTACATGCACACATTGTTCTAAGGGCAAAGCTGTACTGTACATGTACTCAAAATAATGTACTAAATGATTACTTCAATTTTTGTCCAGTGCAAACAATAGCATAATTATATTCAAATTAATCACTATCTTATTAGAATGCCAGCAATGTAAATTATATTCTCCCCGGTTAGTTCAGTGGCATTTTATAAAAACAAACCTCACTCTAAAGGATATAAATAAACAAATAAATACTTCACTAGACCTCGGCGCCAACTGTCAAACGTGTCACTGTCATCTCACCTTCCCCACTCCTCCTTCCTCCCTCCATCCCTCTTCTCCATCTTCCCAGCCAGAGTTTGGTGGTTTTAGGCTTAAAGTTTTTATCTTATATAATATCACAGACTGAAGTTAGGAGAATATAATTTGCATTGCTAGAATCCTTGCTAGACAGTGAATAATTTATAAAATATATATTTTGACTTAGATAAAAAGAATTCACCTGTATCATATTACAGTACTGTAGTGATTTATGAGTTCTAGTATATGTACATATATATACAGGTACTCTTGACTTACGACATACTTTAATTTAATAACCTGGACATACGACCACCGTGGTCGTATAAAAATTTTTTCAAATTACGATTTAGTCCCTTAGTGATCGCGCTATGACTGACAAAATATTTTGCTTGTAATTCCCTTTAAAACTGGGAAGCCGAAAATTGAGAGTTTTCGTGGTGCTGAGAAGAAAAAGAGACATCATTTTAGAATTTCAGTATTAGTTTCGCCTTTTCGACTTACGGGCCAATTCAACTTAAGACCTGGTCATTGGGACGGAACCCCGTCGTAAGTCGAGGAGAGACTGTATAGTGAATTAAGGGCGATTTAGGGATTTTAGGAGTGTTTCTGACCTTACACGTTTTTTGGCTTTATGTGAAGTCCCAGGAACGTAACCCCCTTCGAGTCTACTGTATACTGTATACAGTAATATCTACATTAGCCGAATCCTCAAACCCAGAACTCTCACATAGCCGGAATTGAAATTTTCTCGGAAAATCGTTCTCAAGCGAATTTTCCGGAAAATTCTGTGGGAACGATTTTCCGAGGAGCACATTTTCCAGAAAATTCCCCCCAAAATTTCTGATACCAGGAAAATTCCAGGGATGGGTGATTTTTTTCCGGTTTGAAAGATGAAAATCAGGTACATTTTCTGGAAATGATGAAAAAAATTTCTTTCTACCTGGAAAATATATATACAGTCATGCTGGTTAACGTCCGACTCAACAAAGTCCGATCGATATACGTCCGTGGCTCTCTCCCCAAAAGTGACGCCTGCTGGACCACCACCCAGGACCCTTGACGGAGACACGATGATCCTCCCATACTGGTCAGATATTATGTGTTAAAGGAATATGCTTCCTTTAGGCTTTTTTAAGCATTTGCCTACAGGTGAAATGTTAACCTACATCTATTGAGGATAAAATCTTTCACCTACAAATTGACAATAACACATTTGCTGTAATCAGACATATCTAGTTGTTTAATCAATTGCAAACCCCAGTTCCAATTGGGGTGTAATTCAAATTCTGTGGCATTACTAAAATAGTAAAGTTTCTGGTGCATTCTAAGATTAAGAGAGAAAACCGAGGACTCAGGCGCCCTGATGTGAGAGAAAACGGACTCAGATGACGGGGACCAAATAAAAAGCATAGCTACATGTTTTGTGGACTACAGTATTGTTATTTATCTTTTCATCACTTTGTAATAAACCCAGCCATGCTTATGTGTGTTTATGATATTTACCATAATAATATATATTTAGTGGGTCTAAATGGTCGTAAAATGGGTTGGGTCTTGGGTGCCTAAACCAATTAGAATAAATCCCATAGGTTCTGTACTTTCGTATCGGGCGGGGTCCCAATAGCCGCGATAACCAAGGGATGATTGTACTGTACTGTATATACTTGTGACACTGGCCAGTTGCTTCTGGTGTTATGGTACTAGACCAAGTAACAGCACTAGATCCCACTTCCTCTATCAAGGAATAAACAATTAAAATTTAAATTTAAAAAAACATTCAAATAAATTACTATCTTACAAGAATCCTCCAATGTAAGTTATATTCACCCAGGTCATTTGGGTGGAAAATTATGAGAAGAGCTTAGTCACTCTAAAGATAAATATACACAGGCAGGCCTTTCACACCTGTCAAATCTTATCTCAAATAAAACACAAACGTTTCCAGTTTAGTTCTATGTATAATTAGAAAATTATGGGCCCTGCGTATTCAGCTGACTACATTCAAAGCAAGTGCTCAGTCACACATCCATTCCTCATTATTTATTACTTTACTGTACTATGTATCCATTCCTCATTATTTATTACTTTTTACTGTACTGCATTTCATTGTAGATTTTTTTTTTTTTTTTTTATCTATGTCGGACTTTCATTTAATTATCTTGGACTTATGGCCTGATTTGGGTCCCCACTTCGTTTTCCTAGTTTATATATATATATATATATATATATATATATATATATATATATATATATATATATATATATATATATATATATATATATATATATATATATATATATATATATATATATATATATATATATATATATATAATAAAGCATCGAATAAATTGACGCTAATGTGTTCTCCAATATTGCAGTGTAAGATGAATCGTCTAATCTCAAATCATTAATTAAAATAGCTAATAATGAGATGCCCCATGTGACCTTTTCATATCTTTTGTGTGCTTTTTACCCTCTTTTCCCAAAAACAATACAATTAATAAAAATTGCAAACTATATTTTTAAATAATGTTTCTGAATGCACCTTAAACAATATATATATGAATAATATCACGGTCACAAGAGGAGATGGGACTCCATTGTTTTGCTTGTGTTTACAGCCGAAGTCTGGGACGATAGTTCTACATGAGAAAATGAAGAAAATAAAACCCTGGTTATAGCTGTAGTAAAATTAATGAAAAAATTAATATATATGTTTTAAGTAACGTTATTTAATGTTAATGAATGGAACCATAGAAGTAACACTAATGGCAAAGAAAAAATAGATGGATTGTTAATATTTATATATACTGTCATTTTGATACTGGCAATATTTATTTTTTAAGAAATTAAAGATCATTATTGTTTATTACTGAATATGTATTTGATTGAATTAATTTGTATACTGTATATGCAAAATGAACAATACAATTCATTAATAATAGAATATTAAAACACAAGAGGATAAGAGATGCATTGTTATCAGTGTTTACACCCATAATGTCAGTTATCCACCTGAAACAGAAAATCAGACCCTGATTGCTTTTATAAAAATTAATGTAAAAAATATGTATGTTTTAATAAATGTTATTTAATGTACAGTAGAAGTAACCACTGATATTAAAAGAAAAGTGAGACTGATTAATATTAAGACTTCAAGGAAACATAGTCATTTATCTTAAGAATATGTACAAAAGATTCATTATTGTTTATGACTGGATATGTATTTGATTGAATTAATGTTTATATATGAAATGAACAATGAATAATGAGAATATTAAAACACACGAGCTTGAGTGACGATGTTAATAGAGATAATAAATTGAGGTTAATAACCACAAAAAGTAGAGGTAAGGACACACAGGCATCAGCTGTTTAAACTGAGCTGCGCGTGGCGCTACTAATAAGAAAACGATGTGGGCTGCAATGCCACTTCAAAACTAACCATGTTGAAAAATGCACAGTTATCAGGTAAATGGTCTGGTTCCTGTAGTGCAATATGACTTTGTATAGTTTTCATGGTTTATACTTATCCTTTTTGAAGTTGAGTTTAAATTTTGTATTTATTTTTTGTCTGAATATTAAAAAAAAATTAGAGCAAGTAGTTGTATGTTCAATATACAGTACATTGCCTCACACTTCGTGCAACATATGGAGACAGTTGCAACCTAGACCAGGCTCAAACAACAGAATAACCACTGAGTCCCCCTTAGCTTCTTCAAAAAAATGGAGGAGAGGCAGTGTACAGTTACTAAAATTAAATCTATAGGATCATTAAGTGTTCAGTAAGTTAAGAGGTGTGTGATAAAGGCAGTTGCCTTATGCAGAGGTACCAAGCATGCCATTTGTGAAACTTAATTTTTTTTAAATTTAATTTTATCAGGAGGAACGTGGAGTACCCAGAGAAAACCTGCAATATATAGTAAGGTCACAGAGGATGACACCCTTCTTATGTCTATCCCAAGCCAGAATTATAAGAATTATACTAACACAGTATGTGTGTTTGTGTCATTGTATTGCAATATAATAAATAACTATTTTCTCAGGTTGACATCAGTGTGACAGATGCTAATGACAATGAGCCAGAGTTCATATCCAAGCCACCATACAGGGACTACACACATGGTGGTATTTTTGCCTTTGTATTCACAAATATCCACATCAGTTCTGCAGGTGACAGTAAGTATTACAATGTGTAAATGAATATAACTGGTTATGTTAACAATACTGCAAGTAGCCCATGACAACATAACCACTAAACATCCTCTCTGCTCCCATAAGAGAGTGTATAGTATAATGATTCTTTGATTACACTATACAGGAGAACAAAGCTGGATAATAAAAATAAAATGCTTCAAATAGTAATTCTTATCCACTTGGTTCCAGGTCATTAAACCCCATTATCCATGATTAACTCAAAGCATACTAAATATCCCCACAGCTAACACACCCTAATATCTATTAAGCTCACTATCCTGATTTGGCTGTTGATTAGCTGTTTTACTGCCTAAGTACAGATTTTTACTTATTTATTTATTTTTTTATCCTTCATATTCTCCCCTTATCAGCTTACTAGCCGTTTGGGCTGTTTATCCAGTGGTAATACAGGAGGAAACCGGGAACCTGGAAACCTGTGGTGTTTGGTAGGGTCACAGTGGATAACAAACACCCTTCTCACATGTGTCTGGGCTGAGTCTTGAACCCTTGACATATTGGTGAGAGTTATGCGTGTTACCACTGTACGACCAACAGTGTCCCTATCTCAGACCCTGGTCAGTCCCTTGATAAAAATTTTTTTGCCAGTAGGGTATACTGCCAGATTGGGGGTCACTAATACTAAGGGTAAATACTTAACTCTATCTTAATTTCTAAGGGTCGCTGCCACCAGACCCCCTCTGGACAGCATGTAGCTTGTTAGGCAGCGTGCAGAGTGGACTAGGCATTGGGTTAGGTTTTCCATTGACCATATCGATAAGGGGAAAGAAGGGTGAAACCATAACATGTCTTAATTAATTTATTCCTTATAAAGCATACTGGTAAAAAACATACACATGAATTGGTCTTCCCGGAAGAACAACGAAAATGTTGGTTACCCAGATGGGCACCAGACGCCTTACATTAATGGCTGTCATCCACATTTATTGCATAACAAACTGTACCACCTTACCTCGGTCATTCCTTCTTACATTATCCCACACATCAGACTGCTCCACCTGTATGGAATATAGCACCGCCTGTATCATACATAGTAGCACCATCTCAACACACATGTTACACCACCCTGCAGGTATGGGACTCTAACTTTTAGGTATACACAACAGGCACCTGTTTGCACACCTCGGTGGGTAAAGACGAGGGCTTCACCAAGAGACATCCAGTACTACTATACGCTTGGTATTATAGGGTCGCCCAAGTGACGATCAGAGAGTTTCCCATTCCCTTATTTGTTACTACTCATTTGGGAGGTGTTGGAAATCCACAGGTTCACAGTGATTGCATAGCTGGGAGTAGTCACCACCTGTTGGGACGCCATAGGATAATGGCTGCCGGGCAGCAAGGCACTCCGACCGCATGGAACCTGAGGTCTGGTAAAGAATAATGCCTGACGGGCGTTATCACACCCCTAACACATTACTATTACACTTATATATCAGCAAAGCTTTAAACTGTAATAACTTTATATGCCTTTAATTATAGGGGCGGAAATAGCCCGGAAGGCTGACCTGAGGTGACGGTAGAACGGAGGGTACTGAGGGCAGTGCCCTGCCGCCACACCGCATAGGCCTACAGTTTCCAATCTTCAATTTTACTTTATTTCACGGTTCTCACCTGAACACTTTTCGTATATTGTCACTCATGCCGTATAAACACATATTTTAATCCTAAATTCCCTCTGGGTAAGGTCTTGGTTTGCTAGTTCGTGGGTAAATTCATTGGGTTATAATATTAACGCCGCACACCCTGAGGCGGGTACATGACGCTACTTTAAAAACAAAGGCTGAATGTTCATGGCGGGGTGTATCTCTACTTAAAACTGTAATGATCCTCCTCTCACACATTGCACTATGTGAACACAGACATAAGATTCTCTGATCACTGTACCTGTCGTGGGTATATGTCACGTGAGGATACGGTGAAAGTTCATACCGACGATACAAGATATTTCCTTTCAAGTATAGTTTCTGGGTCACTTCCAACACCTCACATAGTTCTGATACATTATCCTTTTTCCAGATCATTGTTCTCATGTATTTTCATATGATATCTGTGGGAAGTTATGTTCGCTACACGCCACAGATGAAATAGTAGACCTTCAAACCCTGATCCACACTTAGTCCTACAGTACACTAGTCCGGCTCAACTAGACTTTAACATTCATCTTATGGATACCCTGGTTCTCCTTAATGCTATGAATACATACAATTAATATGATATAACTGTACCTGGGAATTACAATATGTACATGGTATTAGTAACATTGAGTAGGTGAGTTATCCTTTATCAATGTTTCCCATTTTCTGATGTACAAGCTGTGGATTTGAATGTTATATAGCGTAATATGAATTAAATGGGGTTTTTAGGAATGACAATGATGTGCGCAGTACAAGGGAACCTCTCTCAGGTCATCATCATTATCCCATTTTACTGTCCTTTTAATACTTGTATGGGTTATTGACAAATGACATGTAGGTCATAAAAATATTTATATATTGAGTTCACAATTTCAATGGTAGAGATGAATAATGTACCTATTTTATTCATTACAGGCTGAGGACAACGATTCTGGAGAATTTGGCCGTATACAATATGAATTGGTTCCAGAGAGCAACCGTGGTGGATACTTTAGCATAGGACTCACCTCAGGACTTGTGATGACCGAGCGAGACATGTCTTCAGTGCCACCTGAAATTCTGCCTTTCAACCTGACATTGGTGGCTCGTGATAACCCTCAGCAAATTGGTGGTGTGTCACATTCCACATCTGCTTCTCTTATTGTAAGTGCTGGGCTTCACTAAGGGAAAATATTCTACATGTGTTAATAATCAACTTATGTATCTATATATATGAGCGTAATTGATAACATAGTAAAAAGGTTTAACAAATAATGATAAAGTCTTAAAAGAACAGTCACTTGACCTTTTTCTTGTGATAAAGATGAAAAATCTACCTTTAATATTTTAGAAGATGCTATCAGGTTTTTGTACATCTAATAGCTGCTACACTGAGTAATGAGAAGATAAGGTTATAATTGTCATACATCAATAACCAATAATTCAGTTTCAATGTGATCATGTGCACCTTCAGTAATATATAATTACAGTAGACTAGTAAATATGCATATACTGTTCCATTGTGCTGTGACTGAACTCTGGTGGCTTCTAACCCACCAACCACATTTCTGGTTAATCAAAAAGTACCATTGGACATTATTCAGCAAAATTATGTTGATCACAAAGTGTGCATGGAGATTCAGATAAAAAGTTTGGGGTGATGTAAATGTTGAGTGTGTGATGGAAGCGGTGATACATTACATCAAATACAATTTTTTGTTTTTTTTTTGTTTTACAAAGTTATATTTGTAATTTTTTTACTATATTACAATGAACACATCTGATTATTTGGATTTTTTATTTTATTTAAAAAAACAGTCATTCCTAATTTTTTCCACTAACATTATTAGAGGAGCTAAACTGCTGGAGTGTGCAGGAATCCCCAAAAGCAAGCAGAAGTAAACACTGAAATGTAACCATATTAGGTATGCCCACATGACTACTGTGAGAGGGTTTTGATGGTTCGGCTGCCAATAGGAAACTGTGCTTGATTATGGTCCTACATGGCTGAGTGTGTTCAATTAAGCAAGCAGTATTGTACACTTAAAACTCTGGTCTGTTTTTTTCACTGGTTTCTGCAATAACAACCATATAGTTACAGATTTATAATGTATTGATTTAACTTGATGGGTTACAATGCATTCATTATATGTAGCTGAACATTCTCTGGCAGTTAATGTTCCCTGATAACAAACATTGTACCTTTTGAGTTGTAGCTGTCTCTACCCAGGAGGTGCTTTGCTAAGGTACAGTTGTACCCCGCTTTACGCGGTCAATTGAACCCACAGGGTACCGCGTTAAGTGAAAACTGTGTTAAGTGAACAACAGAACATATGGGATTAATTCCAATAGAGACTGGCCCGACCCCCAAACTCTACTTTTTCCGACACAATACCTATGTTCTAGTAAAAATAACATCTTAATTTTATGATGGTACATGCACACAATTAATACTTAAGAGAAATACAGTCGCCAAGTTAATGTCCATTCAAATAATGGACTCAACTCCCTCCCCCTCTTCTCACACTCCTGCTGGCTCTTCCCTCTCTGAGAAATTTTGGGAGGAAAACCACTAGATTTTAAGATAAATAAATAATACCTCAAACTAAAGTTAGGATAATATAATTGACATTGCTGGATTCCTTGTAAGACCAGGAATATTTTGAATATAAATGTCATATATTTTGCACAAAAGATAACATATTTACTCAGAGTAAACATTATATTCAAAAATTTGTATGTCTAATGCAAAATCAATGATGTTTATATTCAAAATGATCATCAAATTGTAAGAATTCCAGCAATGTAAATTATATTCTGGCCGGGTAATTTGTATGAATTTTATGAGCTAAAACAAATATCTTCAGTTAATAAAAAAAAAATATTCTTCACGACACTATCTGTCAACCAAAGTACCCCACCTTGCCTCCCCCCTCTTCCAACCGCGCCAGATGGTCGGTCCGTCCCAACCCTCCCCCCCACCCCCCACCAACCCTCCCTACAAGAGAAATGTTGGGTGAAGAACTAGATTTTCACATTTAGTATTAAATAATACCTCAGATTAAAGTTAGGATAATATAATTGACATTGCTGGATTCCTTGTAAGACCAGGAATATTTTGAATATAAATGTCATATATTTTGCACAAAAGATAACATATTTACTCAGAGTAAACATTATATCTAAAATTTGTGTGTCTAATGCAAAATCTATGATGTTTATATTCAAAATGATCATCAAATTGTAAGAATTCCAGCAATGTAAATTATATTCTGGCCGGGTAATTTGTATGAATTTTATGAGCTAAAACAAATATCTTCAGTTAATAGAAAAAAAAATATTCTTCACACCGTGCCAGATGGTCGGTCGGTCCCTCCCTCCCCCCCACCCCCCACCAACCCTCCCTACCAGATGTGTGGGAAAACCAGAATATTTACCTTTTTAGTAATAAATAATACCTCAAACTAAAGTTAGGATAATATAATTGACATTGCTGGATTCCTTGTAAGACCAGGAATATTTTGAATATAAATGTCATATATTTTGCACAAAAGATAACATATTTACTCAGAGTAAACATTATATCTAAAATTTGTATGTCTAATGCAAAATCTATGATGTTTATATTCAAAATGATCATATTGTAAGAATTCCAGCAATGTAAATTATATTCTGGCCGGGTAATTTGTATGAATTTTATGAGCTAAATAAAAAAAAAAATATTATACTTCACCGCGTATATGAGTAGATGAACCGCGTTAAGTGAAAGTTCGGTTCTGGCGAGGCACCGCGTATATGAGAAATCGCGTTAAGTGAAACCGCGTTAAGCGGGGTACAACTGTGTGTGTGTGTGTGTGTATATATATATATATATATATATATATATATATATATATATATATATATATATATATATATATATATATATATATATATATATATATATATATATATATATATATATATATATATATATATATATATATACTCTTTAAATTTCCTTATCTTACTGCTATTAGCCCTTTTCTATGCAAAACTGAATAATTACAGTATACCGTATATCACGGCCTATAAGACGAAATTTGAACATTAAAAAAATCTGCCCAAAGTTAGGGGGTCGTCTAAACCACCAAGTTTAAAATTCTTACCTCTTAAATATTGTGGTTTAGTGTGTCAAGAGTGGTGATGAAAACATCGTAAGCCACTCACAAGGTCTTACCACTAATTATTTTATACTGAAACTTACGTTTGGCAAGCTGGATTCAAATTAAGATTACCGGTATATTAAAATAATAAAAATGTATTATAAACCTGTCTAACATACCGTAAAAGAGATTTATACCCCTATAATAAACACAGCTATCATCACACACCCCTCCCCACGCCCCCCCCCCATTTGCCAGTGAGGAGCCGTGGAGGTGGTCAGTAATGCATACCGGTATCGGTATATTTACTCATAATAATATTTATCTCCTATAAATAATTGATTTAAATTTTATTTTTTTCCAAAGAATATTCAGTAAATGAGTGCATTAATTCTTGAAACTATCGACGGTTAATTACAGACGCTCAAGTGACGTCACTAGTGTTTACACTACACCAGCTGGTAATATTTGATGCCATTACTTGAAGTGAATTGGCCTTATTTTAAGTAACTAACTATAAATAAATACAAAAATTAAAAAAAAAGATCAAAACTGAGAAATAATATACTGTATGTATGTTGTGTTGTCAAAGTAAGAGGAACAATTGTGTAAGTACGTAATATTTTTTCACTCAAATCCTAATGAAACACTACTGGAGAACATTCCTTTGTCGCAAAACAGTTTATAAATTAAAGAAAATAATTACAGTGTGTTTAATATATTACAGTATATTATAAATAAATAAATAAAACAAATAATTCGGTAAATCTATTTAAAGTAAATGGAAAATAAGCAAACATGTTATTTACCAAGACCCTTCCGTCTGGCTCAGGGTGAGATGTAGGGGAGATAAAGAAGGCTATTTATAGCCCATCAGAAGTGACCAGTACCCTAATGCACCATAAATAATTCATTGAACATTCATTTTTTGTACATAGTATATTCAGTATATATATATATATATATATATATATATATATATATATATATATATATATATATATATATATATATATATATATATATATATATATATATATATATATATATATATATATATATATATATATATATATGTGTAATAAATGTATGTAGTAAGTACATACTGGTAACCTTTTTCACTCAAATCCTAATGAAACACCACAATTAGAATACGGTGGTTGCTGTTGAACCACATGTTGTATAAATAGTCACACCACCGAGACGAGGGAACACTCCCACCACGCTTCAGTGACGTCACTAGTGTTTACACTACACCAGCGGGTATAATTTGATGACATTACTTGAAGTGAATTGGCCTTATTTTAAAAAATCAAGGATGGTTGGTAAAGGACTACTGAGTCAGTGGGTAAGTGTCACATTTGGGGTACTGGTCTTATACAGCAAATAGAGCTCAAAAGCTACTTTTTAAATGGAAATTTGGGGGGGGCGTCTTATGCACCCCGCCGCTTTATAGGCCGTGATATACGTAGGTGAATATTTATGTTGTATACATAGATAGGTCAATATTTATGAGTAGGTATAATCACAACCAGTTGTTCGCTGTGAAATAAAAAGATATATATAAAATGGAAAATACATCATGATATTTATGTTTTATGTTACAGGTAAACCTGGTTCAAGAGAGTCATCGTCTAGTTCTTGTTGTGGAAGCTTCCCCAGATCGTGTTAAGCACAATCGTGATAACTTGGTTGCTGTTTTGCAGGAACACTCTAGTGAGTCTAGTATTAATGTACAGTATTGTACAGTGCAAGTACATGCCATCATCTTTTGATATTTTTATTATCCTTAGCATTATATTTTAAGCGGTCATGCAAGTTTTCTGCAATCAAGAGTACACAAGCTATGATATAAATTTTGTATGCTGACAGTGCATATACGTACATTCATATTAACCTTCACTTCATTTTCAAATCTGTCTGTATGTACTGTCTCACCTCAGCTTGTTAGCAGGATTAGAGAAATATATCCATTGTAGAACAATGCAATTGAGAACTCTTCTTTATATTCATCCTTGGTTTATCTGATTACACCCACAAACTATTTTCTACATGCCAGTTGAGATATTTGTGTTTCACTAAACCAATCTAGTTTCTATTATTTCACTCAGATCAAATCATTGGGATTGAGAAGATTGAATCTCGACGGTTTGTTGTTAACAGGAGCCTGGAAAGTGATGCCAGTGCCACAGATGTTTGGTTTCACATAGTTAATGCTAGCACAGGCAAACTGCTAGAGCGTCAGCACCCGGCTGTTAAAAAGTAAGTTTGACAGAACATTTTTACGCACTCCTCAGTTTCACTGTACGTACTGTCGATGATACTGTAATTAATTCTCTTATTTTTTCTTCAGAATTACAGTAACTATAAAATTCAATAATTAGTGATACAGTATGTTATTTTGGATAATAATGTTAGTGAAGCTATAAATTACTTATGTGCAAAATTCGATTTACTGACTTCTTTCATTCATCAAATACTAAGATTACAAACTTCAGTTCTTAACTTTACTTTATCATCTTTGTTACTGATCAGCCCAAGCAGCTAACAGGCTGCTCACTGATGAAAATTATAAAGTTAAGAGCATTCACGGAAATGGCAGTACTGTATGTGTTTTTGTTGAATAAAATAAGTTTGTTCATAACCCAGTAAGTCATAACACTTACAGTATTTGATTTTTACACTGAAATGGCATTTAGACTAATATCACAAATATATGCAGGGATGTGTATCATTAGTATCACCAGAGATCAGCGGACTGTGCCTTATGTTGACTTAAATATTCTACTATATTAATGTAGCAACCTGCACTCACCTCAGTGTCCCATCTTTGTACCATTTCCAGCAAGAAATAGGGTGGATTTTTTTTCTTTTCTGTATTCTCAGCTGTTCAAATTTATATACATCATTGACCATGAATTTTTTTTCATAGTTTAATTGCTTGCCAACAAATCCTTTAAGGTCCTTGGGTTTCTTATTAACTCTCCTCCTTTAGTTGATAATCTTTCTTCCCTTTCTCTTTGCTGCAGTGTTGCTCCACTCTCTCTCTTTTACAGGTACAATAAGGTCGGGATATATGGCGAGATTGGGTCCAAGGATGTTCGCTATATACTAAATCACGATATATAATTACATGTAATTAATGGGGAAAATAGGGTTAGGTTCTGGAGGCCAATAAAAGTGACTAAACTTGACATAAAATGTCACAGTCTAAAGTTAGCAGAATATAAATTGCATTGCTGGAATCCTTGCAAGACAGCGAATAATTTGAATATGGACATCATATATTTTACACAAGAGATAAAGTTTTTAGTCTTTTAGAGTACATTTATAAGTACCCTACTGTACATTTTTTTAACTCGTATTTTTGGGGTGATTTAGAGGATTTTTAGGAGTGTTTCTGATTTTATACTACACAACACAAATTGTACGCTAAAACAACAGAGCGAGGGATTAACCTTGTACAGTAGGCTCTCGCCAATAACGTCTAATAGGTGCCTGAAAAATGACGTTATTAGCGAAAACGTTATTTGTGTGACATTAAAATACACGTAAAAAGGGTTTATTGGTGCTGCCACCCCAAGAATTTCACCCATTTTTTCCCCTTTGAAGCCTTGCCTAACACTTTGTTAGCTGAAATAAAAAGATTTGTTATTCAATCATCAGAATAAAGAATTTGAGTAATATAACACTTACCCGTAGCTTGGGGGAGTTTTTGAGGTGCTTGGTGTGATGATTGTTCCGAGGCTGGGGCATGGAGGCTACTGCGTCGAACCTCCGCCCACATCCCTGGCCCCATCTCCGTCCCCGTCCCCACGCTGGCCTCTCGCACCCGGTTCACCCACTTCCGCTAACACTTCATCATTGTGAAAGAAAGCAAGTGATGAGTGACTGCTGCTGAGCATTCACTCGCTCGTTGTACTGCTTCTGGTATTTTCTTGAAATACAGTTGCCCCCACTTAACGCGGTCAATTGAACCCAGAGGGTCCCGCGTGTGAAATCCGCGTTAAGTGAACAGAACATATGGGATTAATTCCAATAGAACCAGCCCGACCCCCAAACTCCACTTTTTGACGACACATAACTATGTTGTAGTAAAAATTCTATCTTAACTTTATGATGGTATGAAAAAACAAGTAATATAGAAGAGGTTAGGTTAGGAAAGATAAAGGTTAACATAGGAAAAATGAAGGTTACCTAAGAGAAACTAAAAGTTAGGTGGAACACTTACGGTAGTAGAAGAGATGGGTCGGCATACGGGGATGGAGGCTGGTTCCGAGGCAGAGGGCAGATTACTGGCCCTCAGGTGAATCACCATTACTAGGTGAATCAACATCACTGTCACTTACAGTTGTCAGGGCTTCCCTGACAAATCCCTCAAAGTCAACTTCACTTTCACTATCACTGGCTTGGGCTGGCTGTGGTGGGTTGCGGGCGAAGAACTCGGTTATGCTTTGCTGACGGCTGGTGTTGATGTTGTCGTGATACACCTTGATGTACGGCTCCATAGCCTGCACCAGTCGGGTATGGAAGACTTCATAGCGTTCATCGTCATTGTCGCGGGAAAGGACGGACTTAATTTTTTCTGCAAACTCTATGGCACACTTAATATCACTATGACTTAAACTAGGTTCTTCGGAGAATGACGCACCTTCTTCCTCCTCTTCACTGGCGTGTTCTTCTTCCAACATCTCGTCGGCAGTCACTTCAGGATCTTTGATCACCTCCAGGATGTCTTCGTTGGTGGTCTCGGAGAAGCCTTCAGCTGTAATATTGAGCGCAGCTTCTCTGGCAAGGTCCACTGCTACTGCAACAGTCTGAACCTCACCAGTCACAGGTTCACTCCTCCTCTCACCTGGTATGCCATGCAACACATGTCTCCATGCGTGACGAATCGTAGCAATAGTCAGCAGATCCCATGCCTCCACCAAGAAGTCTACAGCTTGTTTAACGTTAAACTTCTTCCAAAATTGTTTGACGAGAAGTTCTTGAGTCGCCGCCTCTTGTTCCTTGTCCTCGTCGCTTTTGCTCTCGCTGTCGGTGTCACCCAGCTTACGCAACTCATCCTTGGTGTTGGTAGAGTCGTTCAGGAGCTTGAACTTCTTTGCAGAGTACGCAGCTTTCACATTGCAGATCAACTCCTGGTCCATGGGCTGGATTAATGACGTAGTGTTGGGAGGAAGGAAGACCACTTTTACGTTGGGGTGACGATCCATAAGTAGGGGCGAGTGTCCAGGTGCGTTGTCAAGGAGCAACAAAATATTGAATGGAACATTCTGTTGCTCGCAGAATTTCTGCACGTCAGGAACAAAACAGTTGTCAAACCAGAAGAGGGACAGAGAAGAGGACATCCACGCCTTACGTGCGGTTAGCCAGTGGACATTAAGCTTGTTCATGTCCATATTCTTGTAGGCGTGCGGCTTGCGGGCTTTGTGAATCACCGATAACTTTGGTTTACAGGTACCGGAGGCATTGGTGGTAAACAGGACGGTGATGCGTTCCTTCTGCAACTTCCGACCCCTTACCTTGCTGGCAGACTGGACAACGAAGGTCTTGGAAGGTAACTTTTTCCAGAAAAGACCAGATTCGTCCATGTTAAACACCTGGTCGTCACTGTACTGTCCTTCCTCCATAATCTCACGTAAAAACGGAGGAAAATCTCTAGCCGCCACACGGTCAGCACTCGCTTCCTCACCACCAATGTTGATGTTGGTGATCTTGTTCCTCTTCTTAAACCTATGCAGCCAACCAGAGGAAGCATTGAAGGGTTTGGGCTCTGCAATTCCCAGTTTACGTGTCACTGCTGCGTATAGCTCACGTGCGTACTCCTGCACTGAGCGCGTGTCCACCGCCATGTTGCGTCGCGCCTGACGCACCAAATAACTCACCAGCAAATTTTCCACTTTTGCCAGCACCCTGTTCTGGCAATACCTGATAGATGAAGCACCTGCAGACTTTGTGATTTTCATGTGCTCTTTGATCTTGGCTGCATCCTTCTTGATCGTGCGAATCGTAGATTCGTTGACGCCATGCTGGCGCGCGAGATCAACTTGCCGTCTTCCTTTCTCCAAATCTTGAACAATTTGGTACTTCACCTCGTAGCTTAATGAACGTCGTGTCTTCTTTGGCTTAGTGCCGCTGGGTCCAGGTAAGGAAAGGTCTCTCTCTGGGGGCGATGGTGGTCCGGCGGAAGCCATTTTACGGAACAATGGATGCGCGTTAACACGGTGTGGCCTTGAGGGATGAAACTGCCGCGGCTAGGTCAAGCGTCGTCTCTCCTCCCTCCCTCCCTCCCTCCCTCGGGGTGGTCACGTCATAATACTTTAAGCCAATTACAGCTAGCAGCAGAGGGGGGTAGGGATGCATGGCCAATCACAGTCCGATACGTCATATGACGTCAGTGATAACGCAACAAAGACACACACTGCGCAACCTTACCGCGCGGCTTGCCCAAGCGGAGGGAGGAGGAGGGAGAGGCGAGGAGCACAGGCAGGCAGGCGGGCGGGTGGCGCGTGGGCAAAATCTAAAAATAGCATCTCGAGCCGGACACTCACCGCGTATATGTGGAAAAAATCCGTGTTAAGTGAAAGTTCAGCTCTGGCAAGGCACCGCGTATATGCGAAAACGCGCTAAGTGAAACCGTAGGGCGGGTAATACTGTAGACTCTAAAACTCCAATCACTTGCTCCCTTTCACCTGATTCACTCTCAGTGTCTTGGATCATCTCTTGAAGGCTGGTAAAGACACCCAATAAGAGTGACAGCTTCTGTGTCGTCACTTTCCTCTGCTCGGTCTCACCTGCATTACTCGCTGCATCACCACTCTCACCACCTTTTTCATCCTCCGGGAGATCCTCGACGTCATTTGTGTTACCTTCTTGCATCAGTTCTTCGAAATCATCCCGAGTCACTTCTTGAAATCCTGGGGCTGGGATACTGAGGACAGTTTCCAACACTTGGTTCATTAGTTCTGCTGGCTGCTGGCTCTTCGTCTTGGCAGACTTGAGTTGTGGCAGGAGTGCTGACCAGGCATAGCTTACGGTTGCTTTTGTAGTATTTCCCCAGGCTTTTACAAAGAAATTGACTGCCTGGCAAATGTTATAATTTTTCCAGAAGACAGTAACAGTCATTGTGGAGGTTGAAGGTACTCCAGGTGGAGCAGGGGTGGCGGGGATTGCAGGGGAGCCAGGAGGAGGAGTGGAGGCGGAGACTGTGAGTGAGCCAGGCAGAGCAGCGAAGGTGGAGGGTGTGAGTGAGCCAGGCGGAGCAGCAGAGGCGGCGAGGGGAGGACCCTCCTCCTCCTCCTCCTCACTACTGCTCACAGTTTCAGCAATTTCCTTCACTTCTTTTTGCTTATCAGTTTCCTTCCTCATCTTATCATGGACATATTTGTAGTACAGCAACTTTACATTCGCTATGATTTCTTGGTCTAGTGGCTTTATTTTGGAGGCTGTATTTGGTGGTAGAAACACAACCTCAACGCTAGGGTGACGTCCTACTAGAAATCGTGCATGACTGGGGGCATTGTCTAGAAAGAGCACCACTTTGAAGGCTACATTCTTCTTCCTGCAGTATTCTTTGGCATCCTTAACAAAACAATCATCAAACCACTTCTTTGATAACTCCGTGGACATGTAGCCTATATTTGTCTTTTCCCAGTAGACATTCAGTTTGGACATATCACATCCCTTGTAAGCTCTTGGTCTTTTATATTTGTAGATCACCAGAGGCTTCATGAGGCAGTCACCTGAAACATTACAGGTTAGGAGGACACTAAAGCGATCCTTTGCCATTTTCACACCTTTTGCCTGTTTTTCTTTCTTAGAGATAAATGTTGCTTTAGGGGATTTTTTCCAAAACAACCCGGTCTCGTCACAATTAAAAATCTGATCCAGGGTATAACCTCCCTCTTGAATGATTTGATTGGCAATTTCAGGGAAGGAATCTGCATACTTTGTGCCACTTCTAATCTTAAACTTATGCAGCCACCCTACTGAGGAATTGAAAGGAGGGGGAGATTTAATGTTTTTCTTTCGAGCTACAGTAGCGTACAATACCCTTGCTTGATCTCGTATTTGAGGGCCGCTAACACTTGCACTGTCTTTCATTCTACAAGCTAACCATTTCACAAGAAAATGCTCTGTTATCACTATCAACCTGTTTCTATCACTTTTATCATTCATAGCTCGCCTCGCATTTCCATCACTACCGAAATATTTCTTAGCCAGCGCAATACTCTTCTTGGTCTCCTCAAAGTTCCTCTTAATATTTCGCTCTGTAGACTCAGGACAGTTTAATTTCCTCACAATATCAATGTTTCGTGCACCACTTTCAATGAACTCAACAATATGTTCTTTATCCTTGACCGAGTAGGCACACTTCTTGTGGCTTTGTCTCTTAGCTTTGGGGTCTTTTTTCTCATTCACTTTAAAAGTTCCCGGGCATTCAGGCAGCAAATCACTCCCTCCACCACCTCCCTTAGCCCCCACAGGCAAAAACGCGGAAGCCATTGTTGATCACCGACCCTAGCAACCACTGGTTATAGAGGGAAAAATCTCACACGTGGATGCAGCGCTGTATTCCATGGAGCGTGTGTGAGAGTGACTCGGGAGTGAGGCGGAGCGGACAACATGGCGGCAAACAAACGGTATCATTGATGCTCTCGGACGCGTCCCACGAAATCTCCGTTATTCAAGAGAATCCAGACGTTATTATTGAAAATGGGTATCTACCTGTATTGTAACTTAACGTTAATGTCGAAAACGTTTTTGTGGAAGTCGTTATTGGCGAGAGTCTACTGTACAATGGCAGCAGTATATGAACTAAGCACACATATCACCCAAGCTGGCATGTGGGGATGCATTGGAACATGATACAATCTCTTGGAACTCCCAGAAAATTTGTTTTCATGCCCAGAACAGAGAGGTTTGCAGAAATTTTTTTTTAATTTTTATTGGAATATTTCTGGAAAATCCTCATGATTTCATCCTTGGAAACTCATCCCCATGCCCGGAATGGAGAGGTTTTCCTGGAATTTTTCCAGTTCAGAATCAATTCTGGCTATTGGAGAATTTCGTGGCCCAGAGATTCAGGCTAACAGGGAGATTACTTAGCTATTGCATTTAGGTATTGGTGATCACTTTCTAAAAATTTTGGGAAGATTTTACTGTTGGATACCCTTCAGTGGGAGTTCCTGGAGGGAATAAACATCAGAGATAGTCATGTATAATGAGTTAAGATTGTTCCTGACATTATTGCTTTTTGTGCCTAATCTTACTAGTGGTCTTAAAGGTATCATCCATGTAGTTAGGTGAATTTACCAGTGAAAATTATTAACTTAAACAGATAAGTACTGAAAGTTCTCTATACATAATGTCCAAATTCATGCTGAAATTTCTTTCCAGATTTGCTATGGGAGAGGCAGAAAGAAACACACTTTTTGATCACTTGACAGCAGCACTAGAGGGAGTCAGAGCTACAGATATACGATCTCCCATACTACTACAGCCAGTTAGTATCTAATAGAATAACATGTACAAACTTGGTTTTAACCCTTAAAGAGCAGGTATATATATAGTTATGTGCGTTGTTCACCCAGGACGAGGTATATTTTGCCACGTAGAGAATGGAGCAAATTGCATAAGATAATGTTGTTCAAATATATGTAGAATGTACCCTAATTGAGATATTATTATTATTATTATTATTATTTTTGCACCATGAGAAAGCTGAATCTTTTTTCTACAAATTTATATTTACTCAATAAATATGAGAAATAAGAATTTCTTGGAATATCTTGAAGTTGAACTGGTAGTAAATGTTTTTCCAACTCTGAAACAAGCTGCCAGCACCATCGTAGTAACTAGACAACAACACAGCCACGAGCGTATCCAAACAATGGCACAAAGAACCTAAACATCATATGAAGTCCGCTGCCCTTTACAGGTTTTCCTTTCAAACATCATATGAGGTGCCCCGTATCGTATAGGTTATTCATGCCAAAATTTGAAACCGAGAAAACGCGTTTAAAGTTTTTCCAAATTCAAAGATGCATAACTTTGCTGTTTCTTTGAGATACAAGATTCATTTTTGATGCATTTTGAAGCTAAATGACTGTACTTGCAGATGGTAGGTAGCGCGTCATGAAGTACAGTGGTCCCTCGATTAACGAATTGTCCAATTAACAAAATTTCGGTCAACGAATTAACTCCCATAAGGATTTTCAATTCCATTAACGAATAAAACTTCAATTAACGAAAGCCTTTACTTGTGATGTGGATGGAAGATCAGATACAAAAGTGTGTGCCCTTAAGCCTTCTAACCCTACAGGCTAAGGCAAGAAGCCTTTTCGAAAGCCTGAAGGGGCAGGCAGGAGATGATTGCGACCAAAACTTCACAGCAAGTCATGGGTGGTTCCAAAGGTTTAAGAACCACTACAGTTTGCATAGTGTAAAGGTGAGTGGAGAGGCAGCAAGTGCCGATGTGGGTGCTGCCGAAGCTTTTAAGGAGGAGCTAGATCGTGTCATCGTGAAGGGAAATTATTTGCTTGAGCAAATATTTAATGTGGGTGAAACTGGCTTATTATGGAAGTGCATGCCAGAATGGACATACATCCACAAAAAGGCGAAAACAATGCCGGGATTCAAGGCATTCAAGGACCGAATCACACTTCTGTTGGGGGGGATGTAGCTGGTTTCAAGATAAAGCCCTTCATGATATATCATTCAGAGAACCCAAGGGCTTTTAAACATGTCAGCAAGCACACACTGCCGGTGTTTTATCGCAGTAATAAGAAAGCATGGATGACCCTAGTACTGTTTGAGGATTAGTTTCTGACTTGTTTCATTCCACGAGCCAAAGAGTATTGTCTGCAACAAGGGATTGCATTCAAGATTTTGTTAATTTTGGATAATGCTCCGGGACACCTACCACACCTGGACGACCTGCACCCTGATGTTAAGGTAGTCTACATTCCACCTATCACTACCTGTATCATTCAACCCATGGATCAAGGTGCTATTGCTGCTTTTAAAGCGAATTATTTATGTACGACCTTCACTCAGGATGTTCCTGCTACTGAAGGTGAGAAAACGCTCAGAGAGTTTTGGAAGGACTACAACATTTTGAAATGTATAAAGAACATAGCTGCAGCATGGGATGAGGTTATAGGTCAGTGCATGAATGGAATATGGAAGAAAGTCCTGAAAAGATATGTGAACAATTTCAGAGGATTTAATGAAGATGAAGTAATTTCTGCGATTAGTAATAAGGTAGTGGAGTTCAGTAAACAGCTGGAGTTAGAAATTGATAATGAAGATGTTGAGCAGTTGGTTGAAAGTGTAGCAGAAGAGCTACGTAAATAGGATCTTATTGAACTGGATGCACAAAAAATTGCAGAGGAAGAAGAGAGTAAAAATGTAGAAGAACCTGCACCCCCAAAAAATTTTCAGTGAAACAAATGGCACAGGCATTTGCTACAATTAATAAGGGGATGCAAATGTTTGACGGAATAGATCAAAATGTTGAGCATTTTGCTAAAGTTAACAGAATGATCCAAGATGCACTTGCTTGTACAGGGAGATTTACAATGAAAATAAAAGGCAAACTGTGCAGTCTAAATTGGACATATATTTTGAGAAGTCCCCCATTGCTGTCTCCTCACGCCTCACCAGTGCTGCCTCTTCACTCCCTAAAGATGATCCAATACCTTCAACAAGCAAGTTTCCCCTGTTTGTTAACCTGTCTGAAAAAAGCGACATTGATGACCCACCCATCCCTGTTGTTAAGTTTTAAAGGCAAGAAAGTGGTTTTCTTACCGTAGAACTTGTATAATATGGACACGAAGTAGTACCTTAAGCTGTGTATTCTTATATTACTCTATTAATTATGTATAGTAAAGTATTACAGAACATGTATTAATCCTATGTAATATTTCCATTTATTATGCACCATGTTATGTATGTGAATTGTCATATTTACATATTATGTATTCAGCTTGTGAATGCTGGCATCTGTACATGCCAGTGCGGAGTGATACAGAGAGTGGAGATCGCTAGTCCCTATGGTGTGGAAGTCCACTGTCTATTGTTCCTCTGTATATCTCCCGTACAAGAATAAGAACCTATTTTCAAGATAACAAGTGTTTGCGTATACCCTCCGTAGTGTAGAACATTTTGGGCGTATCAAAGACAAACATAGATGGCGCAGTGATATTTCTCAGTGAGATTCAGAGTGAACTTAGCCTTCCCGCCAGACTGTGTTAATGGCGTCTCGTCTTCAGCTTCGCCAAGGATTTACAGCCAGACTACAAGCCTCAGGACTTACAGTGTTGTGAAGTGCTATGCTGTGTACAGTGCTGTGCCGTGAAGTGAAGTGTTCTGTGAAGTGCTGTGTTGTGTATTTTAATCAGAATTGTCTGTGCAAACTGCAGTCAGATGACTGAGGGAGCGGCCCAGCAGTACGTCCCCTCCCGCCTACGGTCATTGGGTAACTGAGCAGCGCGCATTAAGACAACTTCGGTTCGGTTGCGACTTGCGCCCAGCTGCCTCTACGTCTGGCAGCGCGCCAAGCCTCCCGGCAACGAGCCATACACACACACACGCACTCACAGGGCCACTTTATATTAACTTCTTGTGTATTACTTTAGACTTCTGTAATTCTGTGCATAGATTACGAGGGGTTGACCCGGTCTCTTGCACAGATAAAGTACAGAAGCTGTCAGCATGTCTCACAGGGATCAAAATGATACCCTGGACGATGGGTTTATGAGTTTAAGTTTGGGAGACCTCTCCCCACCCACACTCAGGCCCCACGCTCCCCACAGTGACAACGCCCAATCACCCACAGAATCTCCTCGTTCGTCGCGAGCAAGCTCTCCTGCGGTGCCTGCGTCCAAAGATCTCCTTCAACTGATTAAGTGGATGGAAACTTCTCGACAGCAGGACTATGTTGCAAGGAGAGAAGAGGAAGAAATTCGGTACAGAGAGTCTGAAAGACGACGCCACGAAAATGAACAAAGACGCAGAGAACTAGAAGATATACGTAGAAGTGAGGATGACCTGAGAAGAAGAGAGGACCAAGCCAGATTTGAAGCCTTGATTTCCCTGTTAGCCTCCCCACAACGATCTACTCTGCAAGATTCTTCTGCTACTACTAATGCTGATACGACTAGAGGTACTGGTACCTCATTTCCCAGAGTCGGTTCAACAATTCCTCAAAAGGCTGCAGCACAAACGCCTCCCTCTCTGAAGTCTGACGCTTCTTATCAGATATTTCGGGAATGGCGTCGACTTTGGCAAGACCATGCAACAATGGTTGACCTGTCAAGTTTACCACAGCCTAAACAGATGATACAGCTTCATATGTGCTTGTTCTTAGAGACACAACGTACTCTTGAGCACACACTTCAAGTGCCTCCTACGACAACTCTGACTGTAGAGGCCGTGCTGGACAAGTTACAGGAACATGTTAAGGGACAGCGCAACGAAGCACTTAGAAGAAGAGAACTCCTCCAATGTAAGCAGCTTGATGGAGAATCTTTTGATGCATTTTTTGTAAGACTGAAAAGATGTTCAGAGGAAGTTGATGTTTGTCCTGGAAATTCTCAAGTCTGTGAAGAGACACAACTCAAGACAATTATTTTAACGGGTATTCGAGATGAGGAGCTAGTTCAGCGTCTCATTTCACTTGACCCCACTTCCTCCCTTCAAGATGTAGTTACAAAATGTCGAGCGTACGAGGCCGCCAGGTGTGCGACTTCAGCTTTACGTTCACAACCTGACCAGGTGAGGGCGGTGTCTTCCTACAGAAAGGGTAAGAAGCAGCAAGGTAACCCCACCCCTCACCCTCCAGCTACACCTTCAGCAGCAGCTTTGTGTAACAGCTGCGCGAGACAGCATGATGCCTCCCAGTGCCCAGCTGCTCAAAGCGTGTGCAGAAGTTGCGACCGCCAGGGTCACTGGGCTTACACAGTCAAGTGCCCTGCTAGCAAAGTTCAGTGCAGACTTTGTGGTCGTGTGGGCCATTATGACAAATGTTGTCGTAAGAAGACACAGAGAGGACACCACCAAGGATCCAAGAAGTCATCCTCAGGTAGTGCTGGCACGCCCCCTCCTTCTGGCAAGCATCAAGACGCTGTGCCCAGTCGTTCCTGCCGTCGTGTACATTGTTCCACAGACACGACGCCCCAGCACATCAGTGTCGTCATTTCTTACGGTAACTTGTCATCCAGTCTTCAGATGTTACCTGACACCGGTGCTGACGTCTCAGTAATTGGTCCACAACACTTAGCAAGTTTGGGAATACCCCGGAGCAACCTACAGCCCCCTCCTCAGACAACGAAATTGACAGCTGATGGTTCCAAGATGGCTCCAGCTTTGGGATCTTTCTGCGCTACTCTTACCTTTGGTAAGCAGTCTTGCTCAGCCCGGATTGATGTTCATGATGGGATCCCAACTCCGCTTTTATCATATGGCCCTTGTCAAGAGTTTGCCATTATTTCCAAGGAATTC